AGGGCCTAGACGGACTTGGCGATCCATTTGATCATTCAGCTCCGAATACATTGGTCTCGAGGGTAAAGTCTGGTAGCGATGAAGCTTCTGTACAATACAGTATTAAACCTACCCCTGAATCACTTTGCCCATCTTTTTTAGGCTCTCGATCTCGTTGTGGCTCCGATTGTACGCCTCACATTTTTCGTCCCCTCTGTTGAACCTCTTGGCATCCGACGGCCTAGCCGCCTGCCAGTAGTATCCGCACTCTCTGATACACCAACGCCTCTTTCTTTAGAACCATCTGTAAGAGGAGTGTGATAGAATGCCTCTGACACCTGAGCCCCTAGTCCGGGGGCCCGAAGAGGTCTTGAACAAGCCGTTGGGACTGGAGAATAAGCAATAGTACCGACGATCTCTACAGCTCGGCACTCAGGAACGGCGTTCACGCTGGGCAATCAAGCCTCTCTGGGCTCTCGGCCTGCGTCACGATCCGGTGCGTTCCGAAGGTCGAATATCTCTCCGTACGCTGACACTAGTGCCTTACCCGGCGTCGCTTATCCACATCACAGTATCACAAAGCAAAGATAAAGGGGCCCAAGCAACGATTTCCATTCTGTGATATACCATACATACTATACAACCTAACTAATAAACCTCACACCGTTCATACACAGCGGCCCGCCTGGACATATTACCACAATTCACAAGTGGGCTTATTGCTCTTGCACTGGAAGCTGTCCCTGAACTCGCGACTGTTGGCCATAGTGCCAAGAATACGGGCCCACTTGGGTGCGTGAGGGTCGGTGTAAATGCGGTTGATGGCTGTGTCCTTGCGAGACTTTCCGCACCACCAGTTGGAGTAGGTGACGAAGAAGAGCTGGTCTTGAGTGAAGTGCTCGAGACCAGGCAGGTTCTTGTTGGGCTTCTCGTGAGCACGGCGCTTCCAGGCCTGGAAAGAGGCGGAGAGGCCGCCGGCGTCGGCAATGTTCTCGCCAAGGGTGAGGCGTCCGTTGACGTGGAGGGGCTCGTCGTCGGGGCCTGGGACGGTGAAGTTGGAGTACTGCTCGATGAAGCACTCGGCACGCTCCTCGAAGGCCTTGACAGTGTCGTCGGTCCACCAGTCAGTGTAGTTGCCATTCTGGTCGTAGTGACGACCAGTGGAGTCGAAGGCATGAGAAAGCTCGTGACCAGCGACAGAGCCAAAGGCGCCGTAGGACATATAGGCGGGGACCTCGACGTCAAAGACGGGGAACTGCATGATGCCGGCGGGGAATACAATCTCGTTGCCCGGAGGGTTGTAGTAGGCATTGACGGTCGGGACTGTCATGCCCCACGACTCCCTGTCGACGGGCTTGCCGAGGGCAGACCACTCGTCGCTTACGGCAAAGCTGCGAACCTCCAGAGCGTTCTGGAAGAAAGTGTCGGGGTTGACGTTGACTGATTCGTAGAACTTGTTCAGGCTGGGAGGGTCCATGATATCAGGGCTCTTGGTTGGGTAGCCAATCTTCTGGATGATGTTGTGGACCTTGTTGATAGCCTTCTTGGTGGTCTCCTTGTCCATCCACTTGGTAGCCTTGAGCTTCTTGGCGAACTCGGTCTTGATATCGGTGATGATGGTGTCACCAAACTTCTTAGCCTTCTCGGAGAATGCCTTCTCAACGAAGAAGCGGCTGAGAATCCAACCGACGCCATCATCGACCTGGCCAACGCAGGTGCGCCATCTCTCAGGGGCAGACTCGGGGTCCTTTCCGGCGAGCTCATTGACAAAGCGACGGTAAGGCTTAACGGCGTCGGCGTCTACGTAGCGGGAGAGGGACTGGACAGCCTTCCAGACGAAGTAGTTCTGGATTACCTCCTTGTCGGTCTCGGCGAGAATGGTGGTGAGCTCGGTCATGTACTTGGGTGCCATCACAATGACACGCTCCACCACGAAGCCCTCGGGAGCCAGGCCAGCGATGAGAGCCGTGAGTTCGATCTCGGGCGTGAGGGCAGCAGCCTCGTCAATCAGCATGGGGTTGTAGTATTTCTATTAAAGTTAGCAAACATGTTCTTTTTATGAGACGTGGAATACTTACCGTGACATCTTCCCTCTCTTCAGTGCTTGGCGAAGCAGCAGCCAGCAACTTCTCAAGATCAATGACCTTGGCGAAGTTGTCCTTGTTGTTGTCGGGGTACAGGTTTCCGAGAACCTCGACCGCAACGCTGCGGTACTTCTCGACAAGCTTGTCGTCCTCGTAGCGCTCCTTGGATGGGAGACCAAGGCTGCCTGGCGCCGCGATGGAAACCACAACCGTGTCGGGATCTCTGTCATCAGCACCAGTGCCACTTGCAATGAAGGCATCAACGCCGTATTTGGCGAGGAGCAAGATAGCGTCCTTCGTCGGCTTAGGTTCATCGTCCTTGGCGTTCGCGAGAGGGTAGGCCTGCTTGATCTGGTCCAGAATCTGGGTCAGAGGCTCCAGCCCAACTTCCTTGATCTTGTCCTCATTGATGCAGGCGTCGTAGACAGCCTTCATCTTGTCAAAGTTCTCCTCGTCGGCATCCTTGTCGCTGGAAAACAACCGCATCGGAGAGAAGGAGGAGTGCTATTGGCATTGTTAACATCGCCGCCCTGCTTGAACTGGTTTTCTCCCTTACCTTGGAGTCCTTGGGGTACGGCGCCTCAAGGATGTGGCGGAGGAGAAGCTCCGAGTTCTCCGACATGATGGTGCCGGTGAAGGCATCGCCCTGGTCGGAGCGGAGGTCGTGGCGGTCGCGCCATCCGCCACAAACAAGCTCTTCAAAGTCGTTGCACGGGTCGAGCTCCTTGTAGTCGGGAGACAGGTTGTATAAGATCTCGGACGCTGCGTGAACACAGGCGGGTGTCATGCACATCTTGTCCGCCTTGTCGGCGGCGAAGTGCTGCTGAGCTACGGAGATGGTGTCAGCACGCAACGCTGAATTACGCCGTGGAAAATACCCACCATGCGGAACGCCATAGTATAGAAGACCGGCAACGGCGCCGAGAACGAGGACCTTGACGGCGCGTTTGCCGGCTGAGCAGCGTCCGGCATACGGGCAGCGCTGCTTCGGCCTCACGGGCTTGTGGGAGACGAGAGGCGCCTTCTCCGACATGATGGCGCTATCGGGAGACGGGACCTTTGTTTGATTGTAGATAAGCTAGTAGAGCGATAAGACGATGGACGAACCCAGCCAGCTGAGCATCGAGATATGATGGAGGAGAGAGATTGGTTCGATGGGGCTGGCTTGCATGCGGGTGGATGGAGGAAGGGAGAAATGGGAGTGGGCCGATGCAGCTGACGGAGCTCGGAGCTTGGAGCTTTGCTTTGGGGGAGCTTGAGCTCGGAAAGCTGGGGGAGAGGACCCAAGACTGTGACCCTGCGGAGGCGATGACGCTTTGATGTGGAGAAGCAGCTACCTGCTTGTGCTGTGCAGTGCAGTGTTGGAGCTGCGGGTTGGCGGGGGGACTTTCGTATCCGAGACTTTGTGCCGTGCACAATTTGTGCCACCGTGCTTGTACTGCGACTTGCACAACTTCACAGCTCTGACGGGCCTGTGCACCGGGGAAATCCCGCCCAAGTGCCGCTGCTCCGCCGAACCTACTTACTGTGCTTGAGTCTGGCCCGAGTTGTTTGACATTTGAAGGCATTTGAAGTTAAATTTGTGAAGGAATCACTTGTTGAAAATGCCCAAAAATTGACTACTAGATTCGAATGTCTCAAGTGAATAGGTTTTGCTAACTGAAAAGGCTCTGTAGAATGAACATGATGCCTGGCAATGAAACAGGAACATAATGATTCTTCAAAATCATTACCACAGGTTACTTGTACGCACCTCACTGAAATTCACATGTTTCTGATGCTTAGGCTAAGCCTGTTCCTGCACTAGTATAATTCGTGCGTGGGTAATAGTGTCTGGTTCGCAACTTTGAGTAGAGAAGATACTCGTAATCGTGTCTATGTAGGCTCACAGCCTCACTCAAATACTAACTCGACATAGGTAATATGAAGCGGCCAAAGTACAGCCCGTTGGTTTGCTCTGACATAGACATGTCAGAGCTTCTAAGATGGAAAAATTCAGTTAACGCTCCAGCATCTCTGGGCCTTTCTCAGGCCGGATATTTCCGTCGTGACCCGTGACATTATCTGGACGTTCGCGATCTCGGAGTCAGTTTGAAAGCCGATAATCCATACATCGGCAGCTCCGATAACGGCAAAACCATCATGTGTTCTTCTGAGTCTGAATCATGTTGAATATCTGGTAAGATGTCCTGTGTTGATTACGGACAAATGTCGCTTTGGTGCGTGAAGACGTACGCCAAGCTTTACCCCACGCTGGACATGATGACGACCGGAATACCCCTCACTTACGACCAATCCTTCGACGATATAATTTGCAGTTAGTACAAAAGAGACTGGGACGGTTCTCCGCTATTTCTCGTTACATTACATGAACGCTATACAAGATAGGAAGCTGGGAGCACGTCACGCAAGCATGATAAGCCGGAAAAGCAGTCATCTTTTGACTCTCGCCCGGAAAGCCCATTTCCTAGCACTCAACGACGTTCGGTTGAGTTCTGCCCGGATTCCGCCCCTGGTATGGGCCCATTGAAGGCCCAGATGAGGGGTTCGTGGTTGCAATCGAGGCTAGTAAGCAATCTACACATAAAATCTCCGGAGTGGTAGCACACTTCTTGAAGTTCCGAGATTTTGGAACCACCCGTCTCTTCAATTGAGTGAAACTATAGCCTCCTCATTATGCGAAGAACTTTCTTGGCAGCCGGTGCCGTGTTGACTGGTGTTTATGCTTGCCAGCGTGATTGGGCGGCCCTCCACAAGCGCATCAGCGATCACAAGCACCACGACCATGGTCACAAGAAACGGGATCTTGCAGTCGAGTACCCGCCATCGCTGACTGAACATGAAAGTATTCTGGTGAACTCCTTCGACAGTAAAGCTCTGGATGACTGGTCTTACTACTACACTCATGGAGACCATCTCGGAGGTCACAACCGCACGATGGCTGAGTGGACGCAGGAGCAGTGGACGAATGCTGGGTGGGATGCTCACATCGAGGAGTATTGGATCTGGTACACGGCGCCTCTCGAAACGACGTTGAAGTTGAATAGACCAGACGGCAGTGTTCATGAGGTTAGCTTGATCGAGGACATGCTTGAAGAAGACTCAACCACGAGCTATCCCAACCGCATTCCAGCTTACCACGCGATGAGTGGCAGTGGTAGCATTAGTGCGGAATATGTCTATGTGGGGTATGTTCTTACTTGGTCTTGCACTTTCCACAGAATAGTAAGGTATGTACTAATCGGATTTTCAGTCGCGGCCAACGAGCCGACTTCGAAGCCCTCAAGGATCAAGGTATCGAGCTGGAGGGGAAGATTGCCCTCTCAATGTATGGCGCAATTTACAGAGGCACCAAAGTCAAGAATGCACAGGACAATGGAATGATTGGCGCTGTTTTGTTCACCGATCCCCTGGATGACGGCGAGATCACTGTCGCAAATGGTTATGCGGCCTATCCAGGTACGTTGATTTCATCAACAGGAGCTCTTGCTTTGAGCTGACCAAGCTGTCAAGATGGACCTGCCCGAAACCCGTCCATGATCCAAAGAGGCAGCGTTCGATTCTCATCGCTTTATTCGGGGGATCCTTCGACTGTCGGCTACGCCTCGGAGAAAGACGGTCCACGAAACGATGTCACTCCCTACAACCCATCCATTCCATCGGTCCCCATCAGCATGAAAGATGCCGCCCCCCTTCTCGCAGCTCTCGATGGAAATGGCTTGTCTGCCGAACAGGTCAACCGAAGCAGCTGGGTCGGTGCTTTGCCAGACATCACTTACAGCAGTGGGCCGACGACTGGCGCGACTTTGGACATGGTTCACTTCATGAACCAGACCGTTGCACCCACCTGGGATGTGATTGGTGTCATTAACGGAACCAAAGAAGACGAGGTCCTGATCATCGGCAACCATCGTGACGCATGGGTCATCGGAGGCGCGGCCGACCCGAATTCGGGATCGGCTGTTCTGATCGAGCTCGCGAAGGCTTTTGGGAAACTCGTTGATAACGGGTGGAAGCCTCGACGGACGATGTGAGTGGTCCCAAAATCTACTTAAGACCGCATAAGTTGCTGACGAGTCTCATTTGAAGAATCCTAGGATCTTGGGATGCCGAGGAGTTTGGACTTCAGGGCTCGACTGAATGGGTTGAGACTCATTTGCCCTGGCTCGTCACAAATGCTGTGGCTTATCTGAACCTGGACGTTGCGGTATCTGGGCCGCGGACAGCTCTGTCTGGGTCTGGGGAGATTCAAACCTTGGCAATCGACATGATGAAGAAGGTTCTCTTCCCTGAGGATTGGGATGTTGGCCCCACGTTGTATGACATGTGGTTCAACACTACCGAGGGTGAGATTCCTCCTCTTGGAAGTGGTAGTGATTACGCAGCTTTCTATCACAACGGAATCAGCGCAGCAAGTCTCCTTACCATGCGATGATTAAATCGGTTGCTAAGCGATATTTCAGATAGACATTGGCTCAGATGGAGGCAAGACTGACCCAGTGTATCACTACCATGGGTATGCAATTATGGCTTTCTTATTCTTCGTTCGTCAGGCAGCTAAAACACATAGGCACTACGACTCCTATGCCTGGATGGCCAAGTTTGGAGATCCCGGCTTTAAGATCCACCGAGTCATGGGACAATGGCTCACTCTCATTGCTTACCACATTGCCGACGATGTGATTATCCCTTGGGATCTTCCAAACGCAGGGAGGGTTCTCCGCACCTACTACGAGGACCTCAACGAGACCATCGCTGAGACCTACCCCGACCTAGACCTGGACCTGTCTCCTATCGACGATGCGATCGTGGAGTTTGAGACAGCAGCGGAGCGGATCGCTACAGTCGCCAAGCAAGCACTGGCCTTCAACGACACCGTCCTCATCGACGTGGTGAACAGCAAGTACCGCGACTTCTCCCGCGGGTTCGCAAGCGCAGGAGGACTCCCCGGGCGGCCGACATTCCACAACGTGGTCAGCGCGCCGGGCCTGGACAACGGCTATGGTGCTGACGTTTTCCCTGCCGTTCAAGACAGTCTCAGTTCCGAGAACGAAGAGCAGGCACGTGAGTGGGTTGAGAAGAGTGCATCGGCAGTGTCCCGCGCAGCAGAGATCTTGCATATCTAGGAAGCTAAGGCATTGATTAAAACATAGGGGATGTTATTATTACAGAGATTGAGAACAACAGTTGCTTCGAACAGGCACGCTAATGGTAATCTAATCAATCTTGCGTTATAAAGGGGGTATTTATGTCAGTCACTTTTGCACACCTCTCATACTCCTGCGTTGCCTTATTCCCAGGGATCACTGAGTTTGCCGCCTCCTTTCTGTGAATCGCTGTAAAACGACGTACCTCGCTCGCTGGGCGAAATATCCATCAAGCTATCGCTGGTGGTCAGGCGTTTAAGTGGTACTCTGTCCGGCGTCAGGGTAGCCAGCGAGTCTTTCTTCGACGTGTTTGACGGGGAAGACATAGTCGAGCTCTCGGGTACGTCGTCTGTCGCAATGGTGCCGATGTCTTGAGAAACAATCTTGACGTTCCCGGAGGCTCTCGTGGACTGCCGGGTGGTGCTGACTTTGGTGACGTAAAGAAGTTCGGGAAATAGGCGCCGGGCAAGGGATCGAGCAGCGGGCATGCATGCCACGATCAGGCCGACGCAAAGCTCAGTGTGAGACCACATCGCAAGACCGTAGAAGTCATCTGAAACTCTGGTCAGTAAGAGAAGGAAGCAGTAAGAACAAATGCAACCTACACGTTGGGTTCCAGGAGTGGCTGAAGGTGGCGACGCTCTTCAGCCGAACAGCGCTGACGATCGTGATGAAGATTCCAACACCAAACATCGACATGATTCCTGCCTTCTGCCTCTTCTGAAGGTTGAGCCTGTAGATTTGAGTCGCTGGAAGCACGAGCATCCACACATCAATCGCGATATTCAGAGCAGCATGCGATAGCGCCATGGCTGATAGGTCGATGCAGTATCCGGGATGCCTGCCGTCCCACCCATACCAGAAGTAGCTCAGAGGCTTGCATTGGTTCAGATTAACAATGACGAAGGTGATGCAGACCGCGACGTTGAAAATCTGAGTGCCCCATAAGATCTGACGGAACGTTTCGGTGATCGATCCGAAAATGCGAAGATAAAGAAACAGTATCGATGCCTTGATCGAGGCGAGTGTAACCGAGTAGACAATCTCGAATGCAAAAAAACCCTGTGTTCTCGTCAGCACTAGTGATGATCAATACGAAAATAAGTGCAACCTTACCCGAATGAATGTTGTAATTTGATCCACGGTCAGAGTCCAAATATCTCGACCAATCCCCGCTTGCTTTGCAAGAGTCGTTGCAACCAAGAACGCAACCATCATAAGCTGCGAGCCCAACCGTCAGTCAAACCAGTCGTACCGAAAATCAACTTTCATGACTTACATATGCGAATGATATTGTCCAGTCATCCCATCCCCAGGTCCCCATCCGCAACCACTTCGTCAACAGTCTCATTGCAAAGAATATTGTGACGGTCCCGAATAGGAAAGCCGGAACCCATGTTGCAGTGGCTCCCTCGTCGTGGTAGGTGAAGTGGCAATCTGCCCAGGTCTGGTTTTTCGTGACTCATTCCCCCGTTAGTTTCTCCTTCCGTGACACAAATTCTGAAAGGTAGCCTACTGAGTGCCTGCTGTACACTGCATTGAATCCTAACACAGTGAATGACAGCCATGTTGTAGTTCATGTCTCCGCAGAGACATGTCGAATTCGTGAATTCGCATGGTGTATAATCGAGGGGTTCGAATACGCAGGGCAACTATGACGTGATGTTAACAGAGAACCCCTCACAAACTTCATTTTCACCCATGAACCCCCCAGAGAAAAGACCTACAGCGCAGTCGGGAACGTTATCGTAAAGGCCATACACGAGTGGTAGGCAAGCGAGAACGGGCAGGGCCCAGAGCGAGGCCTTCATTGCAGCGGTAATAGAGGCGTGTCGTTCGGTGATGTCGATCAGAGCATGACGAAAGGGCAGGGCGCTGTGGCTCGAGGGTGCTCTGGCAGACACCAAATTTGCTGTTAGATCGCGGGGCAAGAAAAGAGAAGACGAGGGCACATTTCAGACAAGGGCGGGATGGGGTATGTAAACCACATATGTGGATAGCAGACAAGGTCCGGATCAGCCGTGGCGTACGGGGCGACGTCGTGTAAGCCACGGGAGCGATGGCGAGGTGGCTGACCGGGTGCGGAAGACCCAGCCCAGACCACTGGGGCTGTCAAAGTCATTCAAGTTCAAGCTACCATCCATGACAACCCTAGTGTGAGCAATGCCAGCTGGGAAGCCCGGACGTGCATGTGAGATTTCTTGACTACAGAAGAAAGGACGTAGGCCCACGTTATCCACGAGCACCAGGAGACTGGTTACGCGACCGAGACCCTGGAACATCTTTTGGGCATCAGGAACGGGTCTCAGATGACAGCGGTCACGACACCAGCATATTGATCAGAGAGGGTGTGTTCGGCGATGAGCCCTCTCGGCGAGCCTCGCTCCGACCCGCCGAAGCATGTTTGCGCCCTTGAATTGGCTGGAAGTCTTGATTCCAGGTGGTGAAATCCAAATGCGGGACAGGGATTGGTCGGGAGTTCTGCTTTGGAGCTACGAGCCTCTTTCGACTGTCGGCAGTTTCCATACAATCTGGGCAGGACCTCCGAGTCAGACGGCTGGCTCGACACCGTATGGGAGTGCCGGACAAGATGTTTTAACTGAATGCGTCACCGGAATACAGCGTGCCTCTTTTACCGTAAGCCCCCTTCAAGGCCGCTTGAGGCGCCGGGGACACAGCCAGGGCTTAGTCGCGGGGCTAGCTTCGATGGGGGCTTTGGTGGCGTACGTATTTGATCTAAGCGTGGAGAGATGGCCTTGGGTGTTCCTGAAAGGAATGCGTTGGGGTCGGCAGCATTTTTCGTTTTAAGACATGGTTTCACTTACCTTTGGGAACTCAGCCATTGGCAATCGTGATGTTCGGGAGTTTCCCTTTGCTTCGCGAACTTCGCGAGGACGGCGGTGCACCTTGGCGAAGACGGCGTCGAAATAGGAGTCGGGCTCCCGTTGATAACCAAGATGCTGGGACACCAGGCACGCCTTAGATGATTATCGATCATAATGGCATCGGTCAATTGCGTAAATCGCCAAATGCGAAGGGCTTAGATCTCGACAGGGTCCAAATCACTTCACAGACACGGCGTGTTTCGAAAAACGTCATGTTTACCAGACTTGAGCATTTTGGACCCTGACAATCGTGAGAGGTACCATGTTGTGTCAACGCCGGAGCAACCCGATGCATCCGACTCTCTGGTGTTGCCAGGCCCCTATCATTACGTTGCCAAGTGTTTTCGGCTGCCAGTATGATGCCATTCCACCGGAATTGGAAGCAATTTCGGCAGAGACACGCCAATCTTCGACGAAACAGTAGCAACTGCTGGCAGTGTCTCGAACTGCTCACCGGCTATTTTCAACGAACACGGCTGATTCCAGTCACTGCCTCGCACGAAAACGTGAGAGGTCTCTTGGCGGATTACCCGAGTAGTACCAAACCCTCGGCAATGCCTCATTGACGATTCTTTGGAACGTTTGGAGCAGAAGGTGGACCGGTTTCGTGTAACGTCAATGACTTGAAGAATCTCGCCAAGAGTCAAAAGCTGGCCGTCATCCCGCCGATTCTTCAATGGAGTGCCAAGGCATGCAAATTCTGGGCACTGTCAGCACAACGTTTTCCCACGTTATTCACCCTTTGCATTCGGCACCAGGAGGCCCAGACTTCTTGAAGCGCTTGCGATAGAATTTGCCGCCCCTTCTGATCTGGACCACGCAAAAACGTGCATATTAGCATTCACACAACGCTGTACCGACGCGCCCATACATGCGTGACGCCCTGAAGGACCCTTAGTACATTCGCCGGACACATGGAGACGGAAGGTTCCATAAAAGCGACTGATTCCCGGGGGGTTGACCGAGATGATACCCAACTTCCGGCGAACCGCCGGCGGCACTGCAGGTCGACAGGCGGCCATGACACTAGGAACACAGTTGGGGTTCGATAGGTATTCTGGAGGTCTTACAACCTCGCCAACACCTCTCTGGGGACAGATTATATAGTCTTATCATACTGTTCAGCACGTTGCTGGGTCTCAATGGATGATTCTAAGCTTAATGCTCCGAGCCGTTGTATACATGGAAGCACTACACAACATCACGCCGCCGCGATACAGATAGCCTGAGGACATCGAGATGCATGACCCTGGTCTAGATTTACGGCATTGCCTACAGTAATGACTAAGTTATTGGACCAAACTTGCGATTACTAACCTCGTGGCGAAGATGTCCGGATCCGGGCATGGTAGTGGTTGAGTTCTTTGACTGCCTCGCGCGCTTGTCCCGTGATCGCTGTAGTTAAACCGGCAAATCTCTGGACTCACTAGAGCGGAATTAGATTGAGGACTAAGCTCAATATTCCGCAGTGATCATTGAGTGCGCATGATTCTACCCCGGATCTCGGTTCAACCTTATCTGGGTGACGAGACGCTTCACGCTCCTCCACCGAACGGAAGCTGATACATAGACTCAAGGAAACAGTACATTGGGCTGCTTGGGTTACGACGTTTTTATTAGTTTGCGCACGTTGGTTTCTCCTCAATCTAATCAGACACCAAGCCAAAATCTGAAAGCTCTTGGTGGTTCTCACATGTAGGATTTTAAGCTGCGAACTACTTCATTCATATGAACCACTTAGAGGCCGCACGAAGTTTGACTGCAACTTTCGCCATCAGTTCAACTACCACCAGCCTAGGTTGAGGCTCTGGCCAATATTCGAAACTTTTCAACAGAATGCTATTTCCACATACTGCTAAACAAGATTGCAGCTTACATGGCAAACCGTAATTTCCAATCTTGAAAGCTCGAAATACTTGCAGCCCCTGATTTGCCATCTCCACTCATGTCGCTGTACCAGCTTTCAAAAAAGTTGCCCATGAGTTGGTGTCGCCGAATCGCGCCAGATAGATCAAGGCGATGGTGGCGGTGGAGGTGGAGGTAATCTTTCCAGCCGATCCTTCTCCCTTTCGTTCTCTGCATCCCGTTTCCGAGTGCTTCTAACCCCGTAAAAGGTCAGGTACGCAGGCACACCGGATCCGCCATCAACAGGCTTAGGCGTTCCTCTATCTCTCGGGAATTGACGGGGTCCCCCTTCCCTCTCGGGTAAGATCCATTGATAGCTGCGGATGATGCTCATCGGAATCTCGACCTCAATATAGTCTATGCTGTGGAACGTGACCTTCAGATCGTGGTACGACTTCATTGGAACGACCATCTTCCCATCTTCACTGGGGCCGAGGAAGGGCTTGCCACCCGTACCAGACATCACTCTGTTACCAAGCGTCAAATGAGCATCCAGATGTGTCCGTGTATACCCCCTAGTGTGACATTTCTCCAGGCTGAGCTCACTGCCATACATGAACATGGCCAGATGTTCTTTCGCATGTGGGGTGATAGAGATGAGGTTATAGTCCTTTCCCCTGAGGTCTTGAACGGATGGCATCTCCTGGGGTTGGACAGATGACTTCTTGCGGATGTCCGCGATGGCGGCCTTCAGCTTAGAACGTTTCTTCAGGCGGATCTTATAGTATTTCCGTTCGAACACTGTCTCGCGTTTCTGGGCTAAGCGCACCGATCGTTTGTAACGCTCTCGCACTTGATTCGCAAACTTGTAATTGTTCGCCATTGAGTGCTGGCCACTGCGAGATGTAGGCGCCAGGTGGACAGGTGGGGGCAAGCATTGGATTTCGCAGTCGGAATCGTCGCTGTCGCAGCCGCAATCCCAGTCCGACGGAGAAAGCTCCGAGAGATCGTCGTCGAAGAGGTCTGGAAAATCGGTGGAAGTTTTTGACCCTTGTTCTGCATTCCAATCGAGCCAGCGGAAAAACCAGTCAGGATAGTCCTTACGTGGCGGCATATTCTCTCAATCTGACTGTAAAGCTTGCCGGCAATTTCTCGGTTTTTTGTGTCGATGGTGTGTCGTTTCTTATCAATGAGGCTCTCTTCAGTATGAATGGTACAAAAAAGAGTGATGTTGCTGGTTTTAATAGTGCGGTGGGAAAACTTCATAGGAGCGTGAATGTTTTCTTTTCCACCCCTGCATATTGCGTCAAATACCAGCTTTCACATCGGGTAAGCAACTGATTTCGACCAATAGGTAGGGAAACAGAGTGCACTAAAGTGGCACCAGCAAGGCGTACTCAGTGGGGTAGCAAGCGGTGAAAGCCCTCCATCTAATCGATGCAAGAGAAGATGTGCTAGCATCACATCACCGTCGCGTGGCGGGGGCTATGAAACGGGTCAGCGGCGACTTGGTGACGCAGAAGTTAAGTGCATCGCCAGCAGTAGGTGCAAGTTTCAATCCAATTTCTGGACCTCCAGTCTAGGGCCTGATAGGTAGGTAACAATACATATGATACCTATCAATTAAACAGGAAATCTTTTCCCAAGATCTCCCAACTTGTGCGCTCGGATCACACTATTCAGACTGACAGTCTTTTAAGTTTTACAGTGAGCTCTTCAGCAGTTCACCAAGGAAACTCTCCAAACCTCAGTCTGGTATATAGGCTGACAGCAACTAGCAACGAATGTTAAAGTGATCAAAGTTGATCTGTTTCACGGCACCAATGTTGTGACAAGACAACTGCCCAACTGAAGTCCGGTTGCAGTCGCCGCCAGAAAAGAAGTTGATCGTGCAATTGCAGCCCCCTTCCTGGTCGGCCACGATTCCACAAGCCCCGTTCATTGCTGGAAAACAGCGGCTCGTTCCAGGTCGTGTCTGCTTCGCCCTACTTAAATGTTGACCAGTGCATCTGCCAACTTGACCTGTACCAAGGTACGCCGATGCTTCGCAGTAAACGGCCAATGATGTATTGGCGAGCGAAATGATTGAGATAAACAAAGAGGTCTTCATGATATTGAAGCAATGATGATTGTCTTGGTTGCGTCTCACTGCGAATGATTAGCTATTAGACCAAACCAGAGCTTCCGTACAGCACTTGCATATTTTGTGACCAGATAGTTGGTAGAATGAATAGAGTTTAGTCTTACAGTTTTAATGGGTTGTGGTAGTTTGATTTCAAGAGTCAAGCTGCTCCAAACTCTAGCGGATGATCAAAGTCTTGGAAGTAAATGTTAGTCCGAATGATTCATAAGGTGCCCTTATGAACAGGAGCGTGCTCGGAGGCTCCCCTGTAGGTTCGCCTCTCGTATTGTGTGCGACGGGCGGGATGCCCGATCTCAAGTTACAGTTCGTCCGACATAGTCTGCAAGCCGCCTACAACAGCCTTTCAAGAAGGCCACATGATCTGGAAAGCCGGTTCCGTGGTAGCACTTACACATGGCTGCACACTCAAGCTTCGAAGGGGCCGAAATCCTACCTCACAAACTCGTCGGCTTCAGGCAAAGGAAGAAACCCTCGCCAACAACAGCTATAGAAATATCCAGGTATATCTAGTACACCCACTGCTTCCATACTTTCTGGCATAAAATGTCACAATTTCGCTCCTCACATCAGGCCATGGTGCATAGGGCTGGAGGGTCCGAGTCTAAATGCCTGATTTGCTTCCTCCACCGCATCACGGCACGGATGCAAGGAACTTTGTAACTGAATGCGTGATACCATGTGTTGTTTGCATGGAGGTTTCCGTGTGGAAATCCATATCACGATGCACAAGGACACAACGGCTCTTGATCGACGTATGATGTCACCACCACGTTTGTCTGTACAACTACCAGTTTCTACGTGGCTTCGGAAGCTACGAGCTCCTATCAAAGTAGCTCCTATCAAAGTCTATCTGTTCTCACTCCCCGGGCTGGACCTGGCTCCGGTAGCACCGGCCATCCCGAAGGAGGCGTCTTCATCCTCTGAAATACTTGCGGGTCCATCGCGTTATCATTTACCCAGTCCAACAAGGCATCGAAGTTCCGGCAGACTTTGCGGTTCCTGAAATCTGGAAATGGCTGGTCCCAGTTTTCCACCCAGTTGAACGTGATCATGTCGACACTACCCGTGCACTTGATTGCCTGGGCGAGTATATCGAAGCAGTGGCCAATGTGTGCTTGATGCTGTGCTCCTCCTGGCTTCGGCCCTTCCTTTTCCTCATAGTAGTGCTCGTATGAGACCTCCCTTCTCAGCATATCGAGACAGTGCAGATGGTGGAAAACCTCTGTCTGAGCAATGTAGGCATCCGAACCGTAGCCGAGATCGTCCGGGATCTTTACCGCAACGGCTGGGTCTTTGCCCAAGCGGCGCACGTCTTCCGCTCCAATGACCATCGGCCATACGTGATCACCAATCCGGTGCCATTCGTCGTCCGCTTCTTTTCCGATACGTTGACGAAGGATAGACGATGGCCTCGTGTCGTACAGTGTGCCGTTGGTGACTCGTGTAATTTTGGGAATTTCGAATCTTTCCAGAATGGGAGCTTTTCATTCATCAACAAAACAACATCCGAGTTGAAGTCTCATGATCATAGGCTTACAATAGAATGATGTTGCTTTCCAGAAGTCCTGATCCTTGAGGGTTTGCTTTGATGATGTACCTGACCAAACGATGCATGACGCGACAAATACCCCAACATTGAAGACTGTCAGCCATGTCGACGGTCGTACCAGGAGATGAACTCGGTTTCGGCTAACGTCTCTCTTTGAACGCTGCGTTGTAGACTGTTCCATTGAAAGCAGAGCCTTTTCCAGGTTGCCAGAGTCGTCATGGCTGCTCAAAGAGGACTCGTCGTCTACCATCCCTCGAGAATCTGTCGACGGCCTCTTGTGATGTTCCATCACTGATAGAATGTGTTAAATACAAAGTGGCATGTAGGAAGAGAGGAGTTGGATGTGAAATGAGCGTAGGCACAAGATAGAATCATGGGGCGTGGCTTCCTACCCGAAAGAAGCACATACTGCCATGAATACAAATGAAGTTGCAAAGACGAGTTCTCCTCCATTTCTTTACGATCTACGCAACAAGCAAGGCCCCAAAGTTGATGCATTCATCTTCGATGATGCTTAGCCGCGAGAATCCGGATCCTGCTGCCCCGCCACTCAATCCTTCGCTCGCGTTCTGGAAGCTCGGCGCAACGGGCGAATCCAGTGGGTGTCGTTCACGCCGTCAAGCTCCATGAAGCTGCATATTTTCCGTTGCAACCTTCTACTTCTGGTCTGCATGCGGAGTCTTGCGGAATTGAACGCCTGACTGGTCTCAATGTCGGGGTGTAAGCGGTGATGATGCCTGTCGAATCGCAATTCTGCGGGAATCCTTCGTGGCATTTAGATACGTGGTAGCGATTGGTGGCGGTAAGATAGCGACGCATACCGCCATTGAGACCGTCAGGAAGATGGTGATGTAAGTGTCGGCGTCAAATCTCTTATGTAGTAGACTATGTCTCCGCCCTCGATGTCGAGTTGTCAACTTGTCGTTCCCCATCTTAACTGGCGATCACAACAGCTCAAACCTTCCTCTTGATTATCAATCACATCAACTTCAACTTTGGAAAGAATCCGAAAGCTTTCAACATGCGCGCTCAGCATCTCATTCTTGCCGCTATTGGCTTTGCTGCTGCTGCTCCTCTTGGTATGATGCTGCTCTCGCTCAATGTGTGCATCTTGGACTGGAACAAAACTGACTGTTATGATGCTTGAAGATGTGCGAGGAGCTGACGCTGAGGCCGAAGCCATTCCCTTCTACCCCAAGAGAGGTGCGAACGCAGAAGCTGAGGCCATCCCCTTCTATCCCAAGAGAGGAGCGGATGCCGAGGCCGAAGCTATTCCTTTCTACCCTAAGAGAGATGCCGATGCCGAGGCAGAGGCCATCCCTTTTTACCCCAAGAGAGGTGCGAACGCAGAAGCTGAGGCCATCCCCTTCTATCCTAAGAGGGGCGCCGACGCTGAGGCGGAGGCCATTCCGTTTTACCCGAAGCGTGGTGCCGATGCCGAAGCTGAGGCTATTCCCCTTTACCCTAAGAGGGACGCCCGTGCTAAGGCCTAAGTCGTTTTATGCATGTCGGGTATGGAACACAAGCTGGTGTTTGAGGGAAGGTCTGGGAGGGAAGATCTGGTCTAGGACAAGCTTGGCAACAATGAGCACTACTCGGAGGATGAAAATGACAAATAGGTTCAACCCAGTGTCAAGAGCGGGCCTCATCATGTAGTCGAGGAACTTGATGTTCTCGCATGTAGTAGGAGGGACCGATCTGGTCTGTGGTTCTCTGACACGCTCATTCATATCAACTATCACTCGTTTCAAATCCGTGAACCAAAATGAAGCTTTCGCAAATGAATTATGACGAAGGAAATGCCAATTCCCGTTAGACTCTAGTACTTATGACATGGAATAATATGGAAAATAAGTGCCGCTCTTCTAGTTCTGAATCTCCAAAATTCTCGTCCCGATGAATTGGAGAGGACGTCAAGACTGGTAAGAGTCCCCATTCCATCGTCCAGGAATCTTAACGGACTAGTGAAGTCACACACACACAGCAAGCATGGTCATATCAAACCACGATCGAGTATCTTCTTGCCTAAAATAGGCAGCAATGTTTCTTTGCATGCATGTGGATCAACCACGAAAGTGCGCCTGCAACCATGCCGCGTCATATCAGCCCGCGGCACTCATCGGCAGCATTGCGTGCTGGATCCGACCCGCGAGGCGGGCCGAAGTCTGGCAGATCTTGCGAGGCGAGCTTCTTCCTTTGGATTAGGGCGCGGGGGTCCGCCTTGCGCTCAGGATGAGAGGTTGTCAGATTGGAGGAGTTGGCAAGTTTGCCGAATCCTTCAACCCGAACTGGCGTCTTGGCGGAATCCTGGCGTTAGGCGAGGTCTGCAGATGTTTATCTTGACGGAAGGAAACGACCTGAACGGGACCACTCGGAAGAGATTGAAAGCAATTATTTCGGATGGCCTTGTTGGTACTCTCGATACCGAATCCAGCTTTCGCTCATTCCGCAGTTTCAAAGCAAATGCGTTCTTCGTTGCGTTCGCTTTCACCCACCAAAAAAGCCTGGGAAAGTGGAAGTTGAGCGAATGATCACGATGTCGAAACTGTGAGTGGGGAATAATCACGATGGAATGGGTGCAGCTTTTAATCACTTTTGTTCGCAGGTTTCAAGGAATCGTCCATCCATGGACAAGAACAAGAAACGTGGCGTACGTCCAACTATCCGAGAATGAAGAAGCGAAGCCAATCTCCGAGGGAGAAGACCGAGAGTCTCTACGCAAGCCTTCAGTTTCAAAAAGACTTTGTATCATCATAATACGCGCCATAATCATTATTCTGGCTGGTTATGGACTCTTGTCCCTACTAGTACCTCACCTTTCCCCAACCCAAAAGCAACGCCCTCTTTCATGCAACTGCGGCGAGACCATCGAAGAAGCGCGCTCCAACGGCTGTGTCTATGATTCCCTCGCCGCAGCATGGCTTCCACCACACTGCCGCTCTGCCAAACTCACCGCAGAGTTTGAATCACTGGGCCCGAATGAGCCCGACACGACGGGAAACACCTGGGGATACTGGCACGACCAGAACCAGACGCACCCGATGACGCTCGAGGAAGTCAGCCAGCTCCCCGAGGCGGCGAGACGAGGCCAACATGCGCGATTCTTCACCACTCACGAATGGCACCTCGTGCATTGTGTCTTCTACTGGCGCAAGATGTGGGAGGCGGCGCGGTGTGCGAGGGGGGTGGCAGGGGCTTCGTGTGGAGAAGATGGGATACTGGTGATTGAGAAGCGTTACGACACGTTGATGCATATTAATCACTGTATGACGATGATGTTGATGCGGGATCCGTTGGATAGTATTGCGGCTGAGGCTGGTATTGCGCTGCATTCTGATGAGTTGCATGTTGCCAAGCCGCACAAGCATCAGGAGAGTGGGCATCACGGACGCGGTGGGCACAAGTCGGGGGATCCATATGACAAGATGGAAAAGGAGCACCAGCATAGGAAGGGTGATCCATATGATGGCTGAAGTCCGGAACCAAGTACGCTTCTTGAAAATATCTCTGAGGCTTGATTCTATTTAGTCAATTGGGTGATTCCATGCAATTGCGCTGGTTTCGCAGCGGCTTGCGTTAGGAAAGTGAAGCGCGCCCTTCGTTTATCACTAGCGTGTTATAGTGACGCGCTAAAAAAATAGTTAATACTAAATTTAGCTAAAATCGCCTACTTAACTATAAATAAGCCTTATATATACTATATAAAGTAAAAATAATAATTTAGAAACTAGTAAAGCTAAGCTTTTATAATATATTTATTAAAAACTACTCTATTTAATATTATAGTTGGTACTTTATATAGTTATTAGTTTTTTATAATTAATAATATCTAGATTTACTAAAGTATATTATTAATTAGCTTATTAATAATCTTATTGTCAAAACTATTTTAAACTTTAATAATAATATTAATAAACCTTTTTAATATATATTTATTTTTAAATATTAAAAAGAAATAAAGAGAGTATTTTATTATTTGTTCTTTAAGTAATTTCTATATATTTTTAAGAAGACTTATATTTAGTAAATATAGAAGTTAATTTAATATAAAGAAGCCTTTATCTTCTAGATATAATATGATAATTTTAGCTAAACAGATATTTGTATTATTTTATATTAATATTAAATTAAGCTTTTATATAGTAAATGATATTTCTAAAACTATTTTAATATAAATAGTAGTTATTATATTTTATTGAAACATTTTAAAGTTACTAGTTATAGAAAAGTATAAAATTACTCTTTATACTATAATAAATAGTATTTTAAAATATCTATAAAGAACATTAATTTTAATACTTAGGTTAGATATATTTCTTTAATATATTAATTAAACTTATTCTTATTACTTTTGGTTAAAATAATAATTTAAAAAAGTATGAAAAAATTACAATAAAATTAATTAATAAAATAAAAAACTTACCTTTTCTTATAACTTATACTTTTATTAATAATATTCTTCTTCATAAAGGGAACTATGTATTAAAACTTACGTAGTTTATCTTTATAATAGAAAGTAAAATAATATTTTTTACTAATTACTTCTTTATTAAAATATAGATATATTACTATTTAAATATAAACATCCTTTAGTTTTAAAATTTTAATATAATATTATTATATAAATATGAAGATAACAAAGATTAAATAGCTCTTAGTTAGTAATAAAAAGGTTAAAGTTAATAATTTATAAAATATATTATTTATCATAATTAGAAAGTTTTTTTATATAATTATAGTTTAATAAAGAGATATTATAATTTAAGACTTTATAGGATATAATAATATTATAAATATATTACTTATTAATATCTTGATAAAAAGTAATATTATATACTAATTAACTAGTTTAATACTTTCCCTAAATCTTTAATTATTAATAACTAAAGTATAGAGTACTTATTAAAATCCTTATATTTTATTATAGTAAGCGTTATACGTATTTTATAATAATGGGTGTTTTTTAAGTATATAAAAAAACGCAAAATTTCGCGTTATTATAGAGGGGTTAACTATTTCTTTTAGCGCCCTACTATATAAGGGGCTCCCCGCGAAGAGTCATTGCGAACTCATCGCTTCGCAGTAATCCAACCTTCAATTATTGCACGAAGTTATAGTTTTCATCCTTTCACTGCACTCATAGACATCCACGCGGAAGCCAAATCACCGCCAAACACCATGAGCACCCATCTAGCAACGGAGCTGAAGGAGCTCCATGCCCCCTCGAAGCCACTCGTCCTCTCCAATGTGTGGGACCTCGCGTCCCTCAACGCCATTGTCTCTCTCAACACCGGCGACTCCAAGCCTGTGAAAGCGATCGCCACAGCCTCGTGGGCTATTGCGGCAATTCTGGGAATCAAAGACGAGGACCTCACGTTGGAGCAAAACCTAGCCGCTATCGCACAGATCGCCCCCGCTGTCAAGGCTGCAGGGCTCCCGCTCACAGTCGACATCCAAGACGGCTACGGCGAAAGTATCGAAGACGTCGTGAAGAAAGTCATTGAGCTCGGAGCTGTGGGCGCGAATATCGAAGACAGCATCCCGTCGGCTGGGTTTGGACAGGGAATCGAGGGGTCGTTGTACGATACCGACATCCAGGTCAAGCGTCTCAACAGGGCTTTTGCAGCGGCGAGGGAGGCCGGATGTCCCGACTTTGTAATCAATGCGAGATGCGACATCTTCAGGCTGGAACCGTACTTCTCCAACAACGATGAGAGTGCATTGAAGGAGGCTGTTGCCAGGGGCAGGAAGTACCTTGAAGCAGGAGCGACGACGGTCTTCTACTGGGGCGGCATGGGCCGGGGATTGCGGACGTCAGAGGTTGAACTTCTTGTGCGGGAGCTATCGGGCCGGGTTGCGGTGAAGCTGGGTGATCAGTCTGATTCATTGTCAACGGGTGAGCTTGGGAAAATTGGGGTAGCTAGAATCAGCGTCGGTCCTAGTCTGTATCTTGTTGCGATGAATGCAATGAAGGATACTGCGAGAAGAATACTGTCAGGAGGCAAGCTAGCGGCATGAGGCTTAGTGCTGGAATAAGTTTTATCATAGGCACGCCATGCTTTTACCAAGTTCCAATGAATTTCTTAATATGTTTTGGCTGGACTCATAATAGTCTCAAGCCTGAAGTATATACATCAATTTTCCGAGATTTCAACCTGCCAGCCTAGTTAATCGCGGCAGGGGGCTCCTGGCCAGGAAGAGGAATGCTCTGAGGATGAGCAGTGAACATGCCCTCAGGGTCATAGACGGTCTTCAACTGCTGCAGCTTGGCGTAGTTCTTGCCGTACAGACGCTCGCTCCACTGGTCAACAGACAAGGCCGTGTCGCGGTAGTTGACGAAACCGCGCAGGGGCACTCCCTCGGTGGTCAACTGCTGGCGGAAGGGCTCAAGGCCGTTCTGCATGTACGTCAGGCCGTCGGCGGGGAAGTCGGTGAGGCCGGTGGCGAGACGGCCCTCCCAGCGGATGAGCCAGAGACTGTTGGCGTGGGCGAAGGAGGTGTCCTCGTCCTTGAGGGCGCGGGCGGGCTTGCCGCCCCAGAGGTCGATGAAGCCGAACTTGGTCAGGTCGGTGCGGTTGAAGGCGAGGGTGGTGTGCTCGTAGAGCGCGCTGGCAGACTCCTTGGTGAAGGGCTGGTCGGCGCGGAGGACGAGGGCCTGGAGGTAGAAGCTGCGGGGAGGGTAGGTGTCGACGGGGGTGTCGATGGAGGGGGTGGCGACGTTCTCGGTGGCCCAGAAGTCGTTGATGTTGCGGGTGAGGTTGGTGCCGGCGGGGAGCTTGGCCATGAGAGGCGCCATCAGAGCGTCGAAGTCGTCGGGGTTGCCCCAGTAGAAGCCGGAGCCGGTGAAGGGTGGCGCGGTGAGGGACCAGCGGAGGGTCAGCTCATCGGGCCACTCGCCGGTGATGACATGTTCCTGGATGGCGAGGAGGGCGTCAACGCCGGCAGTGAGCGAGGTGTCGTTGAGAGTGATGGTGTAGTCGATGGCCTTCTCGTAGGTAGGCTTCCAAGTCTTGGTGGTCAGGTCAAGAATAATGCCGTAGGAGCTGCCGGCACCCTGGAGAGCCCAAAAGAGGTCAGGGTTCTTGGTGCGAGAGCACTCAGCAATGGTACCGTTGTACAGCATGTACGTGGCACCCTCGAGGTAGTCCATGGGAGTTCCGAGCATGCGGGAGAGGGAGCCGAAGCCACCTCCGATGGAGGAGCCGGCAAGTCCGACCATGTTGGCGCGGACGTGGGGGAAACGGGCGCCGTGCTCCTTCCAGAGCCAGCTGACGACCGGGCTCACCAAACCACCACCGCCGTAGGTAAGCAAGCCAGTAGTATCGTCATAGCTGACGTTCTGGAAATGGGTCATGTTGATGGTGAGGCCGGCAGTAGGCAAGCTGTAAGAGCCGTAGCAGTGGCCGCCATCACGAGCGGCGACGAGCACCTTGGCCTCCCGGGCACAGGCAAGGGCGGCGGCCACCTCAGGTGTGGTGCGCGGCCAGGCGACACCGGCCGGGGTGGGGGTGATGCGGCGCTGCCATGAGCGGATGTCGTTAGGGAACGAGGCGTTGGTCTCGGGGAACGATGTGATGAGACCCGCCGTCTCAAGACATGTCTCCAGGTCTTGGGCCTGGGTGAACGGGGCGAGGGATGCCGCGGCGAAGGCGACGAAGCTGGAAAGACGGACCATGATGTCGGAGGTCAGACGAAAGAGAGACTGGAGTTGGAATTCCGTGCTTGGAAAACTTCGCCGAGCAGTCCGTGATGCCAGAGCGTTGTGCTTCTCTTTATACGCATCTCATATAGCCCCCCTAAATCCCATGGTGATTTCTTGGCATCGTCCATAATCATCACTCCCACCGGGTTACTCGCACCATACGGAGGTATTCGCCGGTCGGTCTCGTCAACCGGGACTGCCGGACTCTGGATGAACCATCAGTAAGGTTGTAATGGAAAGGGGCAGCTTGACCGTAGCAATTCCCCCATCGTCCCAACTTCAATCAAGATGCAGAAAGTTTCTTAGATTGTTTCCTCACTCTATTGAGATAGAGTTCGGCCCCCGCCAGGGATGTACCAAGCGGGCGGGCATGTCAAAAGTCCGCCCACAGGCGCTCGAGTCATTGTTCCCCGAGATTTCTGGGGATCTCTGTATTCATAACGCGCCGTAAAGCGCCCTAGAGGCCTCTGCGGGACCATTGAAAGTCGGCGCACTGCCACTCTGGAGCATCAGGCTGCCAAGACTTACCATCTCCTGAGAGATATTGCGGATGGCATTGTAGGTTCTGGATGGGGAGAATTCGCACCAAACAGATGACGAAGGGCGCATTTCAGGTGTGTCCCGGCTGCTTGGTTTCAGGGCGCAGCGTGTCTTGAGAATATTCCAGTGCCCCGTCAAGGTGAGTGCCAAGACAACTCTGCGAGATGAGGTTGCAGTGTTCGCGGTCGCGGGCCCCAAGAGCCTCAACATGGACTGAGGGAGTTGTGGAGAGTGATTTTCCTTGAGCAGATTTTCGGCGAGGTTTCCGCCGCTGACAAGGAGAGGCGCGCCGATCACGTCGGCTTTACGCCAGTCGCAAGGCCTCATGAGCTGCTCTGTTCTCCGGCCAATCACGGAACAGGGACTCCGCCTGTTCAGCAGCGACTCTCGGTTGTGTAGTGTAGTGGTTATCACTCCGGATTTTGATCGTATCAAAACTTCCGGCAACCCCGGTTCGAACCCGGGCTCGACCTCAACTTTTGTCTTTTGGATTTTCATTCCAGAGGCCTTCATGTTCCACGACACTTACAATAGCGTTGTGCATTGATTTAGGCCGGCTGTTGGCAGCTGCATGTTGCTTTCCTTTTGTTTCTTTTTCTTTTTTACCTTTGTTAACGTGCAGCACCTAAATATGGGCTCTTACCCCGCGCTTAACAAGAACCGAAGTCTAAATTTTGGTTGCGGGCCGTTGAGTTCATCCCGCATCTTCCATTTCCTTTTCTGCCCGTTCCAGTTTTCCAGCGCCCTGCTTGGCATGTATTTGGTTTGAAAGCTATATTGGCGCTGTATTAACTACCTCACTCAATGTTGTAGCGTATGTTTGAGACTATTGGCGTCTCCGAAACCGAGTGAACACCGACTCAGTCGGATTGCCTCTTCCAGCATTTATGTGGCAGACAGGCGCCATTCTCACAGTTGTCATCATGTTGGTCCCGTCTTCCATCACAGCGCGCAATCCCCAAGTTTGCCGTATCAGAGTTTCGCTTGCCATGGGTGTCAAGACCCGTCGCGTAGGATCGGTGCAAGCATCTCGAGCTTCGCCGTACGCTCTGCGACGCCATCTGCCAGAGAACCCCTGCAACTCCCCCACGCACGTCCTTCCAACATCCCTTTTCGACGAACAGTTCCCACCTGACATTCATGCATCACGATGTTTGTCGATAAGGTGCGGCGGGATTCACGGACCAACAACTCAAATTGACCAATACCTGCCCCGACACTCTGGAGCCGACTGTAGCAGCTCCATGTCGTCGTTGAGTCTAATACGGCAAGGCAGACTTGACGAGAGCGCGCCATTCGTTGCGTCTTTGTGATGCGGGGAGATCCGTTTTGAAGTATGCATGTTTGCTTGATTCAAGACAGCGTGGTGGGACGGGAACGAGCTCCCCCGCGTGGGTGACGAGGGTGCGGCTGGTCGAGGTTGGTTATGCTTATGTATATCCATGGCCGTCCTCTGAGTATTGGAGATGATGGCAGCTGTTTGTTGCTGGGTGTCATCTGAGCTCCGTCCAATCTTCACAGGTGCACAGCTTCGAGCTGAGCATGCGCTAGGAGTATGGGGTACTCATTCTTCCCTCAGGCGGAGGCGTCTGTACAGCCTACTCCGAAGGTGACGTTTGCGAAGTCTCCAAAAGCAACATTCAAATCCGAAACCGACGAGACGAAAGATTATTCTAAAAGCTACCTGCACCGGCTGCAGTATGGATTGGGGCAATACGGCATGATAATCATCGGCGGTGGGACGACACTCATACTGGGAATCCTCGGCTTTCTTCTCTTTCTGTGGTCCGGCGAAGGCTTCGAAGACGGAAGGACCGCATCCGTCGCCTGGAGGCGGATCATGCTCGACCAATACATCACACAAGCAATCACCCTGTCAACCGTTCTTCTTCGGAGCGCAGTCACTGCACAATCAGCAATCTACACAAGCCTCGTCGCGGGCATCGTCTTGGAAAGACACGGAGTACCTCTGTACAGGGTTGCCGAAATTTCCATGATTCGCTGCGCGAACGACGGGCCTTTGAGACTGGCATGGCTGCTTGTATCTTCTGCCCGCAAGTCTATCTTGCAGGCCGCGCTAGTGGTCATTCTTCTCCTGACTACTCTTGCCGTCCAGTTCTCTTCAACACTCCTGGTTTCAGACTTAGGCCTAGCCTCTTTGGTTGGAGATGCCCGTGATAGTACTTTGAGACTACACATGAGTCAGGAGGTGATTTCGCTGAATCGGCAAACGAACGACTGGATTTTGCGGCCCAGAGCATATGTTCCCTTCGGTGAGGTGCCGTCATCAGCCAACTCCACGCCAAACAACCTGGGAGTTAGCGACACAGGAATCCTCAACAAAGTCTTCTTGCCCGTTTCCTCGGAGAGAATGTCGTCGTTGCGCGCCTACGAAGGCAAAGGTTACGGATTCGACTCTCGGTTCGTCTGTATGCGTCCCTCCGTCTCCGCCGCTCTATCTATGACAGTGCCCCCCTCCTCAACCAGTCTGCTGTCTTTCTACCTCGCACTTGTTGGCAATATATCAATCCAGGCAACCTTTCGGGAAGCAGGACTGCAATTACCGCCAGGATGTGAGGACGGAGCGTGTTTCCCTTCGTCCTTCAATTGCTCCCTCCCACAAGTCCAATATACCGAAGCACAAGTCAAGCAGGGTCTGACGAACGGTCTATGCCTGCCAGACGGCAGCAATGCCAGAGCAAGCGCCCAAAACTCCACAATCTCGGCTGATCCTGTGAGAGCTTGGTCAGAGGCCTTCTTGTTCTTCCGCACGAACGGAACTCACGAGCTGTGGAGGAGCTCTGATGGGCGCTTCTTGAGTGTCAACCTCGCCTTACCGAATGTTTCATACACCGATGGAGAGTGGATTACATACGAACGCCCCATCGCAGAACTTACCCCCGAGGGCAGACGGATCAACAAGGGCGTTCTGAGGCTGGACATGACCATCTGCTTCCAACAAGTCGCAATCAACTTTGCCGATGTCAAGGTCTCGAGTGAGAAGGACTTGACAGAACCTAAGGTGACCTGGGACGCCGACAGAAAGGTATGGGATACTCGCAAAGTTCAGCGCCAGCTGGGCATCGGGCCTCGATCCAATACGACAACCCGGCGTGGCATCTACAGCGTCGACTTCATTCAAAATCGGCAGCACCTCAACGCCACGCAATACCTCACCAACAAGCTCATCAACGATCTTTACAACTCGCCGCGCGACAACATCTCGATCTTCATGGATCCGCTCGGAAGCGGAATCTCCCACGTAAAACCTAATGTCGAATACCAAGCCATCTTCTCCGACATTCTCAACGCGACCAACAGGCCAGGCGTGGCGATGCAGTCCACTTTGACAGCACTGTCAGGCTCGATCATCAACGACGCGCTCCCGCAGTTTGATGTCAAGGGAAACGCAGTGCTGACTTCGTCTCTTAACGTGCTGACGCCGCAGAGCTTTCGAGGTCTGATGGTTGTGTTCGGCGTGGTAGCTCTGAATATGGCAGTCGGCCTGACTGTGATCCTCATCTTTATGGTGCAATGCAGGTACTCTAGTCAGGGGAACTACTGGCAAGGAATTGCCCAGATTGTGTCGGATGAAACTGCGTGGGTATTGGAGGGTGCGACGCAATCGTCCGACTCACATGTTGAAAGCCAATTGAGCGATCAAGATGCTCATGTGCGAGTAGTCAGGTCGAGTCGGAGTGGACGGGTCAGAGCAGTTACTGTTGAGTCTATAAGCTAAATGTAGTGATGACTATTTTTGCGTTTGTTCACACAAACTAGCAGACCATCCTTACGCTCGACGTTTGAAGTCTTCTTTCAAGTCAACACATAATGTCTCTTAGAAGTATCTCTCATATGCCTTTGCTGCATCCAGTAACGTCTTCTCAAACGGTATCCAGCTCTGGCCTGATGTCTTCACCGCCTTGCTCGCATCGACCTTCCTAGATTCAGGGGGCTCGCTGTAGTCTTCAAGATAACCTTTCCCAGGTTCGCCTTCAACTATGATATCCCGCCTGTCTGGATAAGCCTTGCGGAGAACATCGCTGTAGGCTTGAACGTTGGCGAAGTTGCCATTACCGCCCGCAATGTACCGCTGGCCGTCAGTAATGTCTGGATGATCCACCGCAAACGTGATCAGCCGGGCAACATCCCGGACGTCGACGTGAGTTCCGTTGCCAGGTCCCGCCGGCGGGACAGCCTGGCCGGCCATGATCTGGTAGGCGATGATTGCGGTATCGCTCAGCTTGTTCGGGTCTTCGGGCAAAATCAGAGGCGGCCCCGCAACCCAGACCGGGTTAATTGCCGTCATGGTGAACTTAATCTTGTCTGTACTTTTAGTCCGAAAGTCCCAGAATGCGCGTTCGGCTCTGATTTTGCTGACGACGTAGAGGTTGTGGCCGGTGGCAGCGTCGCCGAGTCTCGCCAGCGTGTCTTCTGCCTCGTCGTTCCAGTCTTCTTCGGTGACGCTGCGGCCTTGGTACTTTTCTCCCTGGCCCCGCACTGCCACGATCGAAGACATGTACACAAACGACTTCAAGCTTGGTTCTCGGAGAGCGGACTCCAGAATACCGGTTGTGCCTTTGACGGCCGAGCTGATGATGAGATCCGCGTCTATGATCTTGAAGTTGACGGGGCTTGCAAGGTGGGCGATGGCCGTGACTCCCTTGACAGCCTCGTCGAAGGCACCTGGGACGGTGATATCGGGAACGAGAGATGTTGATAGCTGACCAGACTCGGAAAATTTTGGGAGTGCGTCGAGCAGACCAGAAGCCGATGATTGCGATCGGGTTACTGCCCTGACAGAGTATCCAGCATGAAGGAATGCCTCGACAGTCCGAGCACCGATGAATCCATTTGAGCCCGTAACAAGGACAAGACCTTTCGTGGATGACATCCTGAAGTTGCTGTGTGCGGTCTCTGTTGGTGTTTTAGTAGGTCTTATTCTCAACAAGATTAACAAGGTTGAGTTGCCGCGATTGTGTTCTTGGTTTGATTCGCGAGTTGGAAGATCCAGGTGCTCTTATCAACGCTTGCATCTCTGTAAATCCATTATTACATCAAGGGAGCGGCGGAACTAAGCTGTATCAAACACGGGCTTAGCACGTGGTACGTACATTGAGTCCGGGTTAACACCATTTTATCGCCGGGCCTTTGTCATTGGAGACTGCCACGGAACGCGACCTGCAATTCTAGGCGCGAGTCGGCATTGCGGCAAGCCATAAGCGCTAAAACCACGGCGAAGGATTCGATGTTCCGCGTCAAAGCTCCCTGCAGCTTGCATTCAGGGTCCTGCCATGACATCACCACTATTGCAGTCAAAGTACCTAATGGATGTTGGTTGGTGTTACCCTTACGCGAACCTACCGCATATTCCAGTAGTCTTGCTGCATTAACTTCCTGTGTCTCATCCCTGTACCGGTGCAGCCTTAATGCGCCTCGTCCCTTTCAATTCTCCCGGCTCCGGGCCTGGCCCGGTCTGTGGGTGCAGACTCATTCGGCCAGGGCTCTCGTGAAATCCACTTCGCCATACCCCACAACACCAAGTTCGAAAATTCTGCAAGCTAGGGCTCGTCGATATCCCCGTAATCCTCCCGGGCCACCATCACCGATCTAAGGATCACGACACGGAAGGGTGGCCGAGTTGGTTATGGCGCCAGGTTAAGGTCAGCTTAACATCTGTTTCCTGGTGGGGCAACCCGCGCGAGTTCGAGTCTCGTCCCTTTCATTTTTCATTTTTGTTGTCATAATCGAGAGACGATGCACTCACTTTTTTTCTTAGATTGGCGCGCGGTCTGCTCGCAACCCTCCTGTCTCTATCAAGCAGATTCAACGGTAGCCTGTAAAGGTCTTCTCTAAGCGCGAGTTAACGCAACGGAGATCGTGACGAGAACGACTCTCGATGCAGATGTTCATCATGTGGGGCCTCGGAAATCGGATTCCTGGGGATCATGAAGCTGTGCTCAATACGGTTATCTAAACGCCAAGCTATCAAGATCAAAGCTTGGTCACCCTTGAAATTGACAGCGGCAGTGCGCTGATGGGTCTGGATAAAACTTCCTGAACGAGCTAGTGGATGGCTGGGCGTAATTCATTCCAACTACCATAAGGAGTGAAGAGTCTATCATTGGCTCAAATGGATCGGACAATACTGATGGAACATATGCTTGCTGTTCTGCTGTATTTTTTGCATTCCCTTTTTGCGCTCTGAAATGCCCCGCGGCCTCCGTAGTTCATGTCATTCCATGTTTGGATGTTGAAAGGCTCGGCGGGAACGAGCGGTAGTCGATACTTGTCACACTGTCGGTGTTTTAGTCCGTCTGGAGAGTGAACACCTGTAAAAACAACGGCTGATATGCGTCGAAACGATGTCGAATAAGAAACAGATTTGCCGGGCGTAGGCATCTTGCCAAAAGCTTGTTGCCAATTAGTTCCCGTCGGATGCATTTTGACTCCGTAGGGCTGAACAACCACCTCACCAAGTTTTCTCCCATTCTACATCCCTAAGCACGAGTCAACTTTGCACTGCCGTAACCGGCTACACCCATGATTGCGGGTCCTCGTTCTCCCCGTTAGTTGCCATTGTAGCATTACGAGAAATGAGATTGACGCGCATGTCTACTAATGTCGGGAATTTGTAAGTGACCTGCCATTTGTAAGTAGACAGGAGAGAACCGGGAGTCTTCGCGCCCGGGACTTGAAGTGAGTACATAAGTTGCGCGATATCCTCGTTCAAAGATCCATGAATAATAGGCATCTCAAACCACAATTACCGGTGGTTTCTAGCTGCCTTTTATCCACATCATCTCAGTCAAGATGGCCGCTTTTCTCACCTATCTACTGCCCCTGCTGGCATTGCCAGCAGTCCAAGCATGCCCGACAAAACATCACAACACGACATGTGGCTCGGTGTCAGGAAACAAGACGGTCAACGCCTTTCAGCTCTACCCCGAGAACGCTGACTTTGACGAAAAGCGTTGCCTAGCTTACTTCAGGTGAGATTTCCTCTGCTGGCTCCAAACAACCACCGGTTTCTCATCTACCTCACCTAGCGTCCTCTACAACGCAAGCGTCGCGACTTGGAACCCGTACACCTCCGAGATCAAGACCATCCAGCTGCCCGGACTCAGTTTCGACAGCGAGCTTCACTCCAGCGGCGTCCGCGTCGATCCTCTTGATCGGCTGTCCATTATCGTCGACGCCGGATCCGCTTTCGACACGGCAGGACAGAACATCACCGGTGACAACATTCTCGTAAAGTACAACCTCACGGAGGAGAAGGTCCTCTGGCGGCGCAATTTGACTGAAGTCACTGGCGGCGTTTACGGCGGCTTCCAGGACACGGCTCACGGCCCCGATGGCACCACATATGCTCTCGGCACCTTTCCCAGCAGCATCATCCGCGTCAGCCCCGACGGATCCGAGGCGACTGCGTGGTACCTCAAAACACCTGCGGACCACACCATTCACGGTTTCTCTGGCCTCGTAGCAGCGCCTGACGGCAAGTCGATCCTCATCGCGGACAGCTCCGATGGACAGCTCTACCGATTCAGTCTCGACACCGCTTCTAACGCCACTGCTCCGACACCGGCCCGGATCCCATTGACCTTGGCGAGCACCATCGGCTCGGCGCTTGACGGTGCGTCGATCCCGTCGCGGTACAAGGGCACCGTCATCCTTGTCTCCGATAATGTCGATGGCACGGTCGTGCTTCACTCGGCGGATGCTAAGTGGGACTCGGCTGCGGTCGTCGGTACCGTCCCCAACGCATACCTGGCTGAGGGTGGCTCGACTACGGCGACGGTGCAGATTGGTGGCAGTGTGTACTCGGTGACTGAGTGGTTCGGCGACGACAAGGTTGCGGGCACACTGGCCGGAAACCGTACGGAGTGGCCGCTGGTTGACATCACCGCCGATATTGACGCGTTCCTGGCCGCTCAGTGAGTGAAACCTCGAAGTTCTTTTCCCGCGTCCTGTCTGAGGCGAACCCTACAGATGATATAATCATCCCAAAAAAGGACAACTTATGTTCAAAGTAAATATTATATGTTACTACTCTCTTAACCGGCGTCCTTCAATATTGTGATCTTTGCCGATGCTTTTTCACCCAAGGCCGTGGCTCATGCCTTTGCAGTGACATTGACCCGAAATTTGCGACAAGAAAGCGGACTCTTCCCGACGGGCTGAAGCACGCCATCTTGAATATGGCCCCGTGGTTGGAACAATCTCGCGTCATCTTCCCGGCTGCAGATTGCCCTTGCCAAAGCCCAACATCACTGATAACCGACGATCGCTAAGGTTGTCAAGTAAGGCATAGACGATAAAATCTGGCTGTAAATGTCAGCAATGATTGATTTTGAATGACTAGCTGACGTGCCTGACCATGAGCTGACGATGCCCTGGACTGAAGTCTGCCCACTCATCGCGCGATGTCGCCATGAGACCCGCTGAAGGCGACACTGAATTCGAACCCCAACCTACCTGTCCCTGGAGTAAGAGCCCATGGGTGTGGCTATTGGCCTGACAGATAAGATCAGTGCTCAGTCTCGATCAACAGCCAGATGTCTCCATCAGGCGCAATGCATACATGTCCAAAGCTGTTGCAATCATGTCGCTGCCTCAAGAAAAAGACGTGAAGAATGCTTCCGTCGTCCGGCATAGCAACGAAGAATCGCCAGTTCGTTCCAAGGACTCCGATCATGAAACCACCAATGGCGCAAATTATACGGAGTCCAAGAGGACATGGAAATCCTTCTTCTGGTCAAGTACGTCTCTCAACCAGATATCTTCTCATGTATCATCGTGCTGATCATTGCAGCCCTGGATGTCCCTAAAGAGGAGGCCAGATTTCTAACCAAGCTCGATTTGACGCTCATCTCTTCCTCTGCTTTGGGAGTGATGTGTCGCTATTTGGACCAAGTCAACATCACCAACGCGTTCAGTATGTGCAACAGTCAGAACTAGTCATGCGAAACGATAAGCTAAGACACCGATCAGACAGCGGTATGAAAGAAGACCTCGCACTCTATGGGAAAGAGCTCAACTACGCCAACGCTATCTGGAGTGCGGCCTATGTGTTTGGTCAAATTCCATCCAACTTGCTTCTCACCCGTGTAAGCAATCCTCAGAGCACCCGTAGATGACCACAATGACTAACGAGGGGCTTGCAGGTCAATGCGCCTCTTTACATCGCCTTCCTTGAGTTATCATGGACCGTCTTCACCTTCGCTACCGCTGGTGTCAAGGATGTCAACCAGCTCTATGTCTTCCGCTTCTTGTAAGCTGAACCCCTCATATCTAACTCTAATTGGTTGCAAAGCTCACTATGGTACTCTTTTCTCAGCGTTGGTCTGTTTGAAGCAGGCCATTTCCCTGCGGTTATGTATGTCTGCTCAAGCTACTACAAACCTCATGAGCTAGCTCGGCGAAACACCTTGATCCAAGTTTTCACTTCTGTTGGGCCCCTCTTCTCGGGATTCCTGATGGCTGCTGTCTATGCCGGACTAGATGGAGTCAGCGGTCTGCCTGGTTGGAGATGGATGTACATGTGAGTTCTCCAGCTGAACCGATGTTGTGGACCCACGAAGGTGGCGGCGAAGCTGACAACCTCTCAGCGTATGCGGTTGCATTTCCTTTCCTTGTGCCGTGTGGACAGCCTTTGCGATGCCTCAGCTACCGGCCCGTGCAAAGCCGAATTGGTTCGTATCTGCGTCCTCCGCAACCATGAAGGAAAGGTTCTTACAACTTCTAGGATATTCACCGAGAAGGAGGTCGAGTTGGCTCGTGCCAGAATGCCTAGCGAGGTTCGACCGATGACTGGACTTTTCAAATGGAAGGACGTCAAACGATGGCATACCACCTGGCACGTCTATCTATGTAGGAGCACTCAGTTCATTCGTGAAAGTCTCACCCGCTGACACCAGAAGTCCCCATATTCTTCGCGTTCCTAGCACAACTTGGCCAATCTGGAGGATCCAGTAAGTGTCAAAGGAATTGGCATTCCCCTCATCATGAACTAACAATTTCCAGTGATTTTCTGGGTGAAGAGCTACAACGTTACCGGAAAACCTCCAGTGTTTTCAGTTGCCGAAATCAACATCATCCCTCTCGGCGTGCGTCCGTCTATATGTAGCTGATATCGTGCTTGGCTGAGATCTGATTCAGATAAACATTATCTCAATCGTTTGCACCCTCATCAATTCATGGGTTTCCGACAGTCTTCCCAGGTCAGCTCGATGGCCGGGCATGGTGTTTGCCAGCGTCATGGCTATCATTTTTCCCATCGCCCTTGCCGCGACTCCCGTGCATCCACCGAATATTGGCAGTCGCTGGGCTCTTTACTGTAAGGCCTTAGATTCGTACTGATTCTTCACTCCCCAAAATCATTGCTAACTATCATTCTCAGATCTAACCGCTCTCTCCGGCACGTGTGCCGGAATCACCTGGACCTGGGTGAACGAGACCAGCAGACATGATCCAGAAAAGCGAGCGTACACCTCTGCCTTGGTGAGTCGTTCTACCTAACATCAACTCATCCCCTCTTCTCAGTGGGCCGAAGCTAACACGTGGATGTTCGTTGTCAGATGAACGCTTTCGCCTACATCTTTACGGCATGGGTCCCAATCTTCACATTTCCAGCAAACCTCCAGCCTTACATCGTGACCGGAAACTACATTACCGCTGGTTTCGGGGCATGTGCGGCCCTGACAGCGCTCCTGATTCGGCATTTTTACAACCGAGATCTCGCTAGGCAAAAGCCTGTTGGTGGAGGAGTGTAGACACTTGGTGCTGCATTTTGCGATGAATATTAGCGGGTTCCAGACATCAGACAACAGATATTTTTGAGGGGTGATGAGTACCTAATTATCGAATGAATGGGTCAATCATAGTATGACCAGCTATCAGAAGTCTTCAAGACTTCAACTCATTTCGTTCACTGAGTTCCAGGTCAAGGTTAGTTCTGGGACAACGCAGTGATGTGGATATTATCAGCCTAGAGAGACACGACAAAGATATGATCTCCCTGATAAAATATTTTTGGCTTGAGCTCAATGGGCCTTGTGTAACCGCCATTGTATTTTCTTGGTCATGAGACGTCGAGTCGCTGTCGGGTGTTCTGACCGCAATGTGTCCCCTGTAACTAGGCCCTGCAATGCGAGTACTTTAGCTGTGCGCTACGCTAACCCCAATCCATCGCAGCGCATCAGTGTAGGTATCTCATAACTGTGCGAAGGAACACAACACCATAGCTAACAGCGCGTGTCTTGCCAACTGGATTGGATATACTTCCATTTGAGGAGCCCAACAAAAGCCTCTGAACTTCACTAACCAACAGAAATTCAGCCGCTGCTTTAGTGGAGACGATCAATTGGTTTTATTACCCAATGAGGAAATTCGGCCAGCTGTCCCCTCCAGACATCATCACCACTGCCGTTTGCTCCCTTCCTACCTTATCCATTTAATCTATATAAAGAAGCCCATCGCTCATCGCATTCCATCTTGATTTGTTGTTTCTTCATTTTTCTCCCTCTTAACCACATATCCAACCACCATGGTTCCCCCGGTTCGCACAGAGAAGAATGAAAAGGCGGTGGCCTATGCCAAATCCCTGACCCACGTCCCCTGGTGCGATGACTACGAAAAGATGATCTCCGGAATGCTCTACAGCTGCATGGCACCCGAGCTGGTTCACGCCCGGAACCGAGCACGTCGCATGGCTCAGAAGTTCAACACCTATGTCCCCGATGAGGAGGCCACGGCGGAACAAGTCGCCGACAAGAGGGTTGCCATGATCAAGGAGCTGTTCGGCAAGGTGGGCGAAGACATTTACCTTGAGCCGAGCTTGCAAGTAGACTACGGCTGCAACATCACCATTGGAGACCGGTTCTATGCCAACTTCAAGTAAGACGTCTCGTCCTTCTTCGATTGTTCCAAGTGTTCTTTCCTAACATTGTTTTAGCACCGTCATTCTGGACTGCGCACACGTCACCATTGGTGACCGCGTCATGTTCGCTACTGGTGTGAGCCTAATCACGGCGACGCATGAGACTAGCCTGCAGTCCCGGAGAGACAACATTGAGTATGCGGAGCCGATCACGATTGAGGATGACTGCTGGCTGGGAGCCAATGTTACGGTGCTTCCTGGAGTCACGATTGGCAAGGGCTGTACCATCGGCGCCGGAGCGGTTGTGAATAAGGATGTTCCTCCCTATTCAGTTGCTGTCGGAGTTCCAGCCAAGGTTGTCGGTAAAGTAGATCCGATAGATTAATTCTTCATTAGAGACGTTCATGGTAAGAGCATTGGTTTGTTTACAAACACATGTGACCTGGTGATCTGATACTCTCCACCGAATTCCTGTGAAGTAACTACGTTGATGACGGACTCTTTGAGAACCTCATAAACACTACTGAAGGCTGCGTACCATCATCACATTACCTCTCAGATTGAAGATGCGTCTTCGGCGGCTTAGTTGCAATATTCAGATAAAAATTGTTTCAATCACACCTGATGCGGCAGCAGCGATTCCCATTCCTCGTGTTTTCTCACGCACTCACGCATGCTGCTCGCCCTCAGTGGTACGAGGCTTTTGTCCAGTCCATGAGTAGTAAGTCCCATACGCATGCACCTCAGGGTCCCTGATCGCTTTGCGGACCAAGGCGAGAAAGACCTCAATCTCCGTCCGTTCCATGCCCAAAGCCGCCAACGGCTTACTCGCTGCCGCACCCAGGAAGTCCTCAGTCACGGTTCGCATGTACATGCCCACCAAGCGCAAGGTCTTGTCCTTGGGCCAAGTCCCGACAGGGACCTTGTACGACTTCTTCTGCACGTTGATGAATCCTGCCTCCTCCATGATTTTACCGATGCGAGGTCCCACCTGTATATCGATGTTGAGCTTCGACATGGCCTGGCGGATCTTCTCCCAGAACTGCAAGAGATACCAATCGTCAGGCATAGTGCCGTCATCGCAGGCGACGTTGGCACTGAAATCTTGAGTCTCGACCCACGCACCGGGCTTGAGATTGCTATGAGGGAGCAGTTAGTAACACGAAGAGACATGGAGACTGGGAATTTTGGATGCTTACGCATAGACACGTTCAAGCAACTTGGGTAGGTCATGAACCAAAGATGCGAGGTTCCGCATATGGATGAAGTCAAAATTATCGCCAGACTGAACACGTTGAGCAACAGAAACTTCCTCACTTTGCCAAAGAAACTCACAAGCCATTCGTCCTCAACGTCATCAACGATGAAGTGAACATTTGGGGGCACCCTTGAGACTGTTAGAGGGAGGGCTGACGCAGGGATTGGATTCATATACAAACCAGTCGGATTGAATGGGAGACAAGTCTAAGCCGGTCACTTCTGCGGAGGGATAGAGATCTCCAACTAGCAGAGAGCCTGTCAGTTCATACCCGTCTTATGGCAGTTTATTTGACAGGGTTACCCGCAAGCAAGAATCAGACGCACCTTCTATCGCCCAGGTACCTGTAATTCTGTAAACACATGGATGCTCGACTTTTTCAAGATCAATCTGTGGGTCGGACTCACCAACTCCGGTTCCAAGATCCAAGATCTTCCCAGGTGTCTTTCCAATCGGTGCATGGAAAAGTTTTCCGTCGGTTAGTTCCATGACCATGGCGTGCTTCATGTCCTCGCGGTTCTGCTCAATATCGTCGTTTGGGATGGGATACTTTCCATCCCGATAGTAGTGGTACCTAAACCTTGTGAACAAAGCCGCGATGCTGGTTCCTCAGTAATCAGTTCTTACCGTCTTCCATTGGCGTAAGCATGCTGCAAGATTGATGACGTAACAGAGGCCGATCCAGACGAGGACGATTCCCATTCCTGGGGCTCGAACTCGTCCTCACTCTGGCCAGCGTCGCCTGCCTCGATCTGCTCCGGGGGAGCTTGTTCGGTAGTGTCTGCCATTTTCTAAATTCAATACTGTGATATCAGAACTGCTTGAATTGATCAGCTGCGTCATGCATTCTGCTGGAGCCTCTGCGCGTGGATCTTGGGCCGGACAACGCTAGCAACCGAGGGGCGGGGAAGTTGAAAACGTCCAGCCAGTCCGTCGCTGTCACCACGATGGGGCTCGCTGTGATTGGTGGAGACTTGAATAATATGCCTCAAAGAGTCGCCCGAATCGTATCTCGTGGCGATAAGAGCCTAGACTTTTATCCCTATCTTAGTGCCTTCAATCGAGAGAAGCCAATGATAGTCTCCATTCCCGCTGTACTGCCGACCTAGGATGATGATTAGAGTCGGCTAATAAGATCAAGCAAAAATACCTTCCAGCAGGCTCAATGCAGTTGCTCGGACGTGTTAGATAATATAGCAATGCGGTCAAGGATAATTAATTGGATAGATATAATTGGTAAGTTGATGATGATCGCCTCCAGTCTAATGCCTAAAATTACACGCAAGGACAAACCCCTCGCCATGAAGCGCTCAACTATGCTGCTCGGTTTCCTCGTACCCAAACTTTTTAATTGCCCAAACACTCATGCTCAGTCTTTGCCTAGTGCCCGCAGACGAACGTAACAATCTTTGGGCTTGAACGTGAGACCCTCCTTTGCGGCATACCCAGACAGCTCATCCGGGCAACGCAGTAGCTCAAAGTTCCACACAATCAACGTCACGATAATCCTTAGCTCCAGGTATGCGAGCCTGCGACCGAAACATCCGCGTGTGCCGAGACCGAAAGCAAGCTGAGGGCCGGCCTGCTGGTCAAACTCGCCGTCGACAAGCCAGCGGTCAGGCTTGAACTGGTCGACGTCGTCGTCGTCCCAGACCCGGGCCTTCGCGGCGAGACTTGATTTGCTGCGCTTGGAGTCGTCGACCGGGATCGCGGGCTTCATCACGCTGGGTCCCTTGCCGAGCATCATCACGACGGTGCCTTTCGGGATGTGGTGCCCCAGGAGCTCGGTGTCGCAGATGGCTTCGCGGTCGATCAGCGGGGCGGCGCCACCGCAGCGGAGGATCTCTTCCATCGTGGCGTCCAGGTAGTGGATCTTGGTGTTTGTGATCTCCTTGATGCTGGGGCTGCGGCCCTCGGCCGCGGCGTCGGCGAAGCCGGCCCGGAGAGCGTCGCGGAGCTTCGTCTGCCTGTCGGGGTTGTCTGCTAGGAGCTTGACGCCCCAGCACATGGTGGTGCTAGTTGTATCATGGCCTGCGATGACTACGCCGAAGACCTGCGGAGAGGTTAGCACGTGAAGGTAGTGATGGTGGAAGAAGGGAGTGCTCACCTCATCAATCATTATAGGGCTGAAGTAGTTGGGCTGTCTGCCCTCGTTCTCTGCCATCTTCTTCTCTCTGAGCACAACCAGCTCAACGGCGGACAAGACTTTCGTCTCCTCCACGTTGCCACTGTCCTTGAGGCGTTGCAGCGCTTTGGCGATCTCCTCTTTGACGTACGCCTGCTTGATGGCCATACCCTTCACAATCTCGGGTCTCCTCTTAACAAACCACCACTTGATCCTGGGAATCGGTGATCCCAACAAATGCTCGATGGCGCCGGCCAAATCCAGAGTTCCCGTGATCTTCTCGTCACATTCTCCATAAGGAAAATCCATGGGCTTGTTGCTTGAGGTGGAAGTGTTTCGAAGCCGCTCTACGTGTTCGGCCGTGAGACTCTCCACGGCTTCCAGTGAGGGCTGGATAGCGCTAATGGGGAAGTTGCCGCCAAAGGTGAAGGCATTCACGGCGTCCAGGGCTCCATAGTAAATGTCCAGCTCAGCGGGGAAGGGCCGTCCATCAGCCATGCGAGTCTTGTCGTTCCAGAGGTCGATGAGTCTCTGCACGCCCACGTACACAGCAGGGCCAGCGACCTCGTTGAGGAAACCCGGGGACATGAGGTCCTGCAAAAGCCTTCGATGACGCTTCCATTCGCTGTCCGTCTTCAGGTGGATGTGGTGGTCCGGCGCACTGCTCTCCAAGAGATCGGCCGTCGCGCGCGATCTGTCGAATTCTTTGCGCCGCATGAGGATATCCTGCGCCTCTCGGAAGTCGCACAGGACCAACGTAGGCCGGTCAAGAGGACGGATGAAGACCTGGAAGAGCGGCGAGCCGAGCTTTGCCGCCTGCTCCTGCAGCCAGAGGTTGAACTCTCCAGTGCGCTTGATGCCTTCCATCAGGGAGGGGATGTCTCCCAGGACGCTCTTTGTGGCGCTCACATTGTGCGGGATGTTGGATATCGGTTTGGGCAGGGCCCATCGGTAGAAGGCGTAGATGAGCACGACGGCTGCGATAGAGAGAAGGGCATATGGCTTTGCGAGAAGGCTCGCGTCGGTCGAGCCAGAATGCACGCTGATGCCTGGCATCGTGATGTCTGTGTGAGGTCGAAATTCCAGCGATGTGTGACGTCAAGAAGAATTCCCACCTCTACCAGCGAGCGGCACGGCGTGTTTAAATCATCAACACGCGTGAGGGTTTGAGAGGTAGTCGGACATCTAGACGGAGCATCGGACTGGACCATTCGTCCGTTTTCTGGATGAAGTTTAAGGGTCCGGTGGGAGAAGCATGGGGCAGTTCGCAGCTCGTCAGGCTCTCCGCGGGCGGGCAACCGGCAGAAACCCAGAAGACTTTGGTGAAGCCGCCACGGGAGCAGAGTGGGACACGAACGTCTTACCAGACGCGGCAATTCACTCGTCGCAGAAAATTGATGTGAGTAGGGATGACCCCCGTATGTGAGCCGTGTGGCCCACGCGAGGCCCCGCCTGTCTCTACCAGGCTTTATTGTGCCATATTCACTGGGGAGCAAACTCTTTAAGAATGGACGAATGATATCGATCGAAACGGAAGGCTCCAGATTGTGTGCGCTATCGACCATGAGCGGGCGTCCGCCGGACTGATGTTTGGTCTCGGTTCCGTTTGTACGGGAGAGCGGCTGAACACCGGACTCTTCTTGGTTCATCCTGTTAGATTGGAAACGGGCCAATCAGAGCCACTGGAAATGCGTAACTAGTCAGTTCTTTGAAGCGCGATGAATGAGGTGGGTTTGTTCCGACCGGATTTGTGTCTATGCCACTTTGGTGGCTGAGAGTGATTATCGCGGTTTCGTAAAGAAGCCCAGGCCCCATGTGCCTGATGTCACCTAGTCCACTCCCGGCAGAGGCCCTTGCTTTTTGTGAAATGCCAGGCGATACACAAGCAAACAAGCGGTCAGCCCAGTGCCAAAGAAACGTGGCGACTACGTCGAGGCTGCAAAAGCGGACGCTTATGCAAACCTCACGCGATGTCATCTCTGAAATCTTGAGCTAAATGAGATCCGCAGATAGACACGATGTCAAGCGATCGGCAACATAGAGTGAGACGCCGGAGACATTTGTTCATATTTGGTTAGTCTTGGTTTGCTAGCAGGGGCCACGGCAGATTTGAATTGCGGCAAAAAATGAGACGAGTCACGGTGCACAACTTTCGGCAAACGACATCAGACGAAAAAAGCAAACATAACAACATCAAAAGATAGAACCCATGGTGGATTTTAACCACTGAATCTCCCCGAGGTGGGCTCGAACCACCAACCTCCAGATTAACAGTCTGACGCGCTAGCCAATTGTGCCATCGGGGATAAGCTCTGAATGAGCTGGACAGGTTGTCGATGTGCCAGCGACCGGAACCGTTTTATCAATGTTCAGGACCCATTTGGGCGGCTGTGCGGCAAGTCTGAACCCTAGGGTGCTGGCCGCAGACGTCGGTAGTGAATGTGGATGTGACTGTTTCTGACCAGAGAACGCGAGTAATTCGTCACCAAACTCCTGACAGGTGGACACCACAGGGGCGTTGGCTCCGCTGTATTTCGAACCGAGGACTCGACCCCTTCTGCAATCTCGATTGCTTTCTGCAGGAGGACGTGCACTGGAGGGTTTGGTTGGAGTCTTTGTCTTGACTGTTCACGATATGTGGTTTCAAACGAGCCTGCATTAGACAACCATAGTGATTTCAATCATGCCTTGGAGATAAGCCTTGATTTCCAATGTTGAAGAATATTGTTTATCTCAACGCTTAGGCTCGGACTTGGCAGTGAGAATTCTACACAGCAGCAGCCCATGATAAGTATTCCGTTAAAACTTCTCACCACCCAATCCCTTCAAGTCATCTTCAGCGTTCTGAACTTCCGGTACAGTAGTCTTTGCAAAAGCAGAAGACTTGATCCGTGATTCAAACAGAAAGTCGAGATCGGCGTGGGTTCTTCCCTTGGTCTCCGGAATCTCCAGCCATGATACAAAGAGAACCAAGATGCTGGTACCCGCGAAGAAGAACCCAATCTTACCTCCCCAATTTGCCTCGTCGGGGTTGTAAAGATAGGGCGTAAAGAAGCTGAAGATCCAGGCTGCGATAGATTGGGCAGCGAGGCCGATGCCGGCGGACTTGGACCGCAGCCGTACGCAGGAGACCTCGGAAGCGATGACCGGAACTGCGCTGGCGACGCCGAAGCTGTTGAAGAACCCGAAAAGAAGAAGGGCGACTCCAACAAACCTACACATGGTATTAGTCATGAGATATCGTCAAGAGGAAATCCTTGAATGCTCACCATCCAGCTGCGGAGGTATTGAAACAGGCGGCAATACCCATCGCAGCCCAAGAAAAGATATCGAGAACGATGCTGATGAGAATCATTGTTCTTCTACCAAACCTCGGCACTGTGTACCACGAGATCATGTTTGCGACCATGTTCGAGGCGACGCCGATGAGGTTGACCATGAGTGAGTACTTGGCGGACATGCCAGCCATGGTAAGGAAGTAGGCCCCGTTCTGCAACAGCGCCATGCCGACGAACTGCTGGAGAATGTTCAGGAAAATTATGATGCGCGTACGACGCAGATTGACGCCGTGAAAGCATTCGCGATAGGTTGGGGGCCCTCTGTCCTGGGCCGTGTCATCGTCCTCGTGCGCCAGCGTAGCTTGAATCCTTTGGAGCATGTTCTGGCCGCCGGCGGTTCCAAGCTTTTGCAATGACTTGTCCGCTTTCTCTATGCTGTCCTGGGAGATCAACCACACCGGGCTTTCCGGCAGCAACAGGGCAGCGATGACGGCTACTCCGCCGAAGGCCCATTGTGTAGCGAACGGGATCTGATAAGACTCAGAACTCAGGTTGCCGACTTCGTTGTAAACGATTGTGATTGCGAGGAGGTGCCCGAAAGACTGTTGGACAAAGCCGTTAGCGTCTCGCTTTACGAATCATCTTGGAGATTCGTTGACTCACAACGTTGAACGCATAAAAGCCCAGGACAACACCACGAAGATTCTTGGGTGCGATCTCAGAGATGTACGTCTGACAAGCAGACATGAGAACACCACAACCCATTCCAATGATGATCTTGGCGAATAGGAATAAGACCCTTCTGTCAGTTGTACCGGAAGGCATGCCCGATGTGAAAGCTGCAGCTGTCCCTGCTAGTCCCAAGATGCCCCCGAGGAAGAACGTTGCACGCCGACCGAAGCGGTCTTGGAACCAACCAGCGAGTATGGAACCCCCCGCAGCGCCGGCTTGGACAAGACCATTCCACAAGCCGAGCCACAGCGCTGGGAGGATTGATGTTCTGCCGTAACCATCCCCAAAGTCTTCACTATATCAAGGTATCAGCTCTATAAGTTAGAGATGAAAACTAGTCGCACTGGGCTATACCGGAACTTTGGAAGAGCTGAGATGGCCCCAACAACCACAAGATCGTATCCGAACATCAGCGGCCCGATGTTGGCGAGAATCGCGTACAAGACCACCTTGCGGTGGCGGAGAATGGCTCCCCATGGACGTTCAACGGGTGCCGACTCTTGCTGAACATCGCTTTGGCCTGGCCTTTCGACCATTTCGACATTAGACTTGGGATCTGTGTCGCCAGCCATGATTATCATAGAGCAGCTCGAATATAACAGAAACAGGGTCTGGCTCGCTCGACTTAAGGTGAATTCTGCCCGCTTGTGTGAACCTTGCCTTTATAGTGCGTTCAAGCTATCAAACTCAATCTTGGAAAGACCCGGCCACCTGGCATGCACCCCAGAGTTTTCGATATGTTCCCCAGACTATCCCCCACGCTTTCACAATCCTCCCCGAATCCATCCCCCACTCCCCGCACGAACCCCAGAAATGCGAGTCGTGTGTCCCGTGAACTGGGTCGCAGTACGGGTGATATTCCTGGCGGACTACTCCGCCTCTTTCTTTTATCTCTAGATATGGCAATTGGCATTGGCAGTCAGGGCTTGGGTGAGTCCAACGGAACGGAAGCATGGTGGGCAGGCGAAGTGGGGGCTTCCGAGGTGGCGGGTGATCCTGGCCGGGAAAGCCGGCAGTGAGGGACGGCAACGGCAGATCGGAGCCCGACCGGCAGATACTTTGGCGGATGACCCGAAGTATGTGTATCCCATATTTCGACAAATAGGGTGCGACATTCAACATGTCAAAAGTGCTTGCTCATCATCAGATAGAAGTTCACGATCGGGCGCAATCACATCTACAAACGACAAAATCAGCCAAGACTTTTTCAATAAATATCATGCTCAAGCCCCAGGCCAACTCCACCAGGGAGCTGGTGTCTCTCGATGGCATCTGGAACTTTGCCATCGCTGACTCGGTCGACATTGAAACGGATGCACCCTGGGCCAAAATCATTCCATCAACATTGCAGGTGCCAGTCCCAGCCAGCTACAACGACATCTTTGTGGACGAGAAAATCCGCAGTCATGTTGGCTGGGTCTACTACCAGCGCCAAGTCACGGTCCCCCGGAGCTGGGCCGCACAGCGTTACCTCCTACGTTTCGACGCTGCGACACACCACGGCCGCGTTTACGTCGATGAGAAGCTAGTCGCTGATCATTCAGGCGGATACACGCCCTTCGAGACGGATATCACCGACGTCGTCAAACCAGGCCAGAAGTTCCGGCTCACCGTGGCTGTTAGCAACGAACTTTCTTGGGAGACGATACCGCCCGGGCGGATTGAGACTCTTGCCAATGGAAGACAAAAACAGCATTATCAGCATGACTTTTTCAACTATGCCGGGCTTGCAAGATCGGTGTATCTCTATTCAGTGCCTCAGAACCGCATTAAAGACATCACTGTCGTAACAGAGATTGGCGGTAACAGCCAAGGAGTCGTCGATTTTGAGATTGAAACGACGCATCCTGTCACAGACGACGTTGTTGAGGTTCTGGTCTTTGACGAACAAGGCTCTCTTGTGGCGTCTGCAAACACTTCCAAAGGCCGGATCGAAATTGAGTCGGCTCATCTTTGGCAACCCGGGGCTGCCTACCTGTACCAACTGCATGCCAGAATTCTCTCCGCGCCTGGATCTGCTGATGTCCTTGATACCTATGAGCTCTCCTTCGGTATTCGAACAATCAAAGTCGAAGGAAACCGCTTCCTCATCAACGGCAGCCCCTTCTACTTCACCGGCTTCGGCAAACACGAGGACAGCCCGATCCGTGGAAAGGGCTTCGACCCAGCCTACATGATCCACGACTTCAACCTCATGTCCTGGGTGGGCGCCAACTCCTTCCGCACATCGCACTACCCGTACGCCGAAGAAGTCCTGGACTACGCCGACCGGCACGGCATCGTGGTCATCAACGAGACGGCCGCGGTGGGTCTGAACCTTGGCATTATCGCGGGCATGTTCGGCATCAAGCCGCCGCCGACCTTCTGCCCGGAAGCGTGCAGCGACAAAACACAGGCCGCCCACGAACAGGCGCTCCGGGAGCTGGTGGCGCGCGATAAGAACCACCCGTCCGTGGTGATGTGGACCGTCACGAACGAGCCGGCCTCCGCCGAGCCCGGCGCTCGCGAGTACCTGGAGCCGCTGGTGTCGTTGACCCGCAAGCTGGACCCGACGCGGCCGGTGTGCTTTGCGAACATGGGCTTTGCCACGTGTGAAAAGGACCGCGTGACGGACCTGTTCGATGTCATCTGCTTGAACCGCTACTACGGGTGGTATTCGCAGACTGGAGACCTGGAAGCGGCGGAGAAGGTGCTGGAAGATGATCTTTTAGGATGGCAGGAAAAATACGGGAAGCCCATTATCATGACGGAGTACGGCGCGGAGGCATTGTCTGGACTGCATTCTGTTACAAACTTGCCGTGGAGTGAGGAGTACCAAGCTAGGTTCTTGGAAATGTTCCACCGCGTGTTCGACCGGGTTGATAGCGTGGTAGGTGAGCATGTCTGGAATTTTGCGGATTTCCATACAACATCTGGTATCCATCGCGTAGACGGAAACAAAAAGGGGGTCTTCACACGGGACAGAAAACCGAAGAGCTCGGTTCATGTGTTGAAGAAGAGATGGACAGAAATGCCAAAGAAGGCTCTTTCTTGAGATTTGCTCAGCTAATAGAACCATCAGATTAAGCATGCACTTCAGCAGGCCACATGGGTTTTAAGGGTTTTTAATCTCTTTTTAAGGTTATTAGAGCGTATACTGGTATCCATACAACCCCCAATAACATTACAATGGCCAGCACTTGATCGAATCATCCGAGTCCGGCACACAGCGCCCTTTTCATCTCGTAAGTTTCTCATGATCGACTCTGTCTCATCCCCTTTCATCCAATCATGTTAGTGTTGGTGGGCTTTCACACCCGAACACCCATGCCTTCCCGGTAATTAAGCCGATTATGCGGTGGAGGCGTTGAAGTCGAGGGCGGTGGAGGCGTTGCCAGCCTCATCCTCGTCCTGCTTGATGTTGTTGTCGAGCTTCTTCTGCTCGGTGGCCATCTTGTCGGCGACGTCCTCACCCTGGGCCTGCTGAGCCTGCAGCTTCAGCATGGTGGCGGTGAGCTTGAGGACCTTGTTCTTGATCTTGCCGCGCTGTTCATTGCACAGTTAGTGACGTCCTTGGTTGCTTGCAAAGATGGTTGAAGGTCTTACCTGGAGAGCATCGGCCTCCTCGCCGGTGGCAGCCTCAATGGCAGGGTTGAAAGCCTCCTTCTCGGCGTCGTTGGCGATCTGGTTGACGCTGTTGAGGAAGTCCAGATCGGCCTTGCTGACGGTGCTCAGGTCGGTAGGAAGACCGGAGAGCTTGTCGAGAGCCTCCTGCTTGGCGGTACCGGCGGTGCCGCCGCTGATGGAGAGGTCGTTGAAGGTCTGGGTGGAGAAGACGTTGTTCTGGCGGGCAGCCAGGGGAGCGGCGGCGGCGAAGGCAGCGAAGCCGACAGCGACGAGAGAGAACTTCATTTTGAAAGGTTGGAAAGGGGGGTTTTGGTGACTTTGAAAAAGTTGTCGAAAGTTGAGAAGAGTCGAAAAAGAGGGACACGGACCCAGAAGAATGAATGATCAAGTGCGTTAGGAAGAGATTGAAGACAGCACAGCTGTTTTGAAGAGAAGAAGAAAACAAACAAGGTTGTAATGATTGTAGAGCGTGATGAGGAAAGGAAAGAAGAGGCGGATTAGAGGAAGATCGAGCTGATCTTTATAGATTCGTTCTTCAGACGATCGTCTTGTCCGTTCACACTTACGTGCCTGATTAAGCTGCATGGTTACATTGGATCATTGGATGTTTGCCTCCCATCTTTCCCGCTTCTGGCAGGGCCCCTCGTTCTCGTGATGGGGAGACATCCGAGCAAGTGCTTCCATCCGGCCCCTCTCCCCTTGGATCTGATGTGCCCCAGCTGTCGCAGTCGCCATGGTCGTAGCGGCCGCTGAATGCGCACCACTCAGACAGTAGACTCAAGATGGGATGGCAGGGTTCGGAAGGGCGGTTGAGACGTCAAGGTCGCGAGCATGTCATCTCAGAGGCTGCAGGTCAGCCCGCCAGCCTCGAAGGAGGTTCCAGAGTTCGTGACGCATGGGTGCGATGAAGCTGCCAAGATGTTGCGGCTGCCTCTGCTAGGCCTGATCGGGAAGCTAACTGACGACCGGATCTGGCGTGCGCGACAGGGAATGCCTTGCCTGAGCGCCTGTCGTTACAACTTTGAGGCTCGTGAGGCTCCGTGGAGTTGTGTTAAGGTACGAAAGGGGTCTCTGAGTGGCTGACATCAACGGCAGAGGGGGAAATGGATCATGGACTAGGAGAAAGATTGGGCCCGGGGTTGAGACGGAGGCGCTGCTACGAGAAACTGGGGCAATTTCGAGGGACGGTCTTGGCGATAAGCCAAGCCAAGTCGGCCTCGACCTCCGACACTTAGCGGTATTGTTCCATCCCAGGGTCCCGGGTCTCATACTATCTGATCCGGCTGTAGCACCCAATGGGAGATGCACTCGCAGACCGTCAATAACAAAGAAGAGTTCCGGAAGTCGACTGTTGGTTGATTGAGTTGGCGGGAAAGCTCCGAGCTTCCCCACCACCAGGGGGGTTTCACGACCCTTGCCTCATACTGCCAAGCTTAACCTTCAGACGCTGTGGAGGACAATATTGGGACGGCATCAGCTTCGTCCGTGCCCACATCTGTCATGCCCATTCTTTTTTTCTTCTTGCCTCGTCACAAGAGCCTCGGAGACGTCGGTCTGGCGCGGTTGGCTTAGCACCGGCTTTCGTCACCGCCTGGATGATGCGAGAGATGCGAGTTGAAGTGGACTCTCTACCCTGTGTCGGTGATCCCACGGAGATCCCAAACACGACGACCGAAAGACGAGATTCCTTGGGCCTGCTGATGCGCGTTTGGCTGGGCAGAATATTCTTACATTTCGTCCCATCTTGCGCCAATGTCGCGAAACTTTCTTTGACGTCAGCTCTGACAACTTGTCAACTGAATCAACTGACACTCAGGTGAACACCTCATCCCGACGGCATCCGCGCACGGCATAAGCCCAATCTTAGATGTTTGGACGGGAACACGTCCTCCCGAGCACGATGGACGAGTCGCCGATGACGAAGACTATCTGTCATTCAAAGACGCCCGCAGGTCCGGTCAGTAAGAGGAACAAGGGTGCCTCTGGCGATTCAGGAACCAACCTCGCATTTGCCCCCAACAGACTTTCGGGAAGCCAGGAGACTAGGAAAACAAGGTAGACGCGCTAGGTGCTTAACTGTCGCTAGTGCAGCCTGAGCCTACCGTAAACACTGGATCCCCTGCGTTGGCCTGCTTTTCCGGTCCTTTTGCGTATTTTTCCCACCACATCCAACGGCCCAAATGCCTGTCAAAACCCGCCCAGGGGCCGAGGGACACCGAAACGGCTTGTCGCCCCCTCAAAGGTTAAGCGCTGCGGGGTGGCATATTTTTGGGGCCAGGCGGATTGTCATATGTGTGTCATTATTGTTTGAATCGTGCGAATCCCTGACGTGGGCGCTGAGAAAGAGAACATCCCTAGGGCATACATACATACATACTCTCGTTCAACATACAAACTCATAGTCTGGTCGTCGTACTCGCTTCTGAAACCATGCCTATATCGACCACCAAAAGTCATCCGCAGACGCAACATGAACCGGATATATCCTCCAAAGAAGCGACAGACTCGTGACCATGGGCCAGAGAACGGAAATGATCAGGGACGGATGTCCATCAATAACAGCTCGCTGTTATCTGCATGGTTATCCCATTCCCCGTCGCGTTTTTTGCCCATGATCATCTCATCAACTGAGAACAATCTTTCGCAACTTTATTCTTTCTTCATTGCCATTTCTCACTGATCTTTGCGTGTTATTTTCTCTTCATTACAAGTAGATGGTCACGGCGACGCCGACAACCAATGCAACACCGGCCATGATTGTTGGTAGCCCAGCGAAATTGCCGTTGGCGCCAGAACAGCCATCATCGCCATTGTTGTGGTTGGTCTTGGGCTTCGTCGCGCTGTTGGTGCCACCGTCAACATCGCCCGTCGTCGCGCGCTTGCACACGCCATTGGCCGTTGACGTCGCCGCCGATGCAGGCGTTGTCGACGTCGACGATGTCTTGCTCTTCGCGCTGTTCAATTTATCGTGACCAGCGATGATAGTGATCGCCGTCGACCACGAGGCAGACTCGGAGCTCGCGAGAACCGTCTCGGCGGCAGCGGCGTTATTGGCACCACCAACAGAGCATCTTGCCGTCGAGCCTCGCGTGCAGTCGAATGTTTCAGATCTTTTCAGGCAATGTTAGTCCTTGCTGCCTTGAACAACCCGCTGCTGCCTAGAACGGAGTTGGCGGTGTATTACCTGAACCCGATCTTCATGGTGCTGTTGCCGTAGGTCAGCGTCACGCCGCTGAACTGCGAGCACGACGCCGCTGATCGAAAGTTTGACGTGCATGCCAACAGGAACTCGGTCGAGGACGGAGCCGCCGTGATGACGGACGCGTAAATGTTTTCGCCGGCGCGTGTGGAGCGCGGCGGCAGCCACACGGTCGACTTCTCCGTCTTTGTCGACGACTGGGCTGCGACCGGGCTGACGAGGCCAACGGCCGCGGCAAGGAGTACAAGTTGTTGCAAAAACATCATTTTGTACAGCCACAGCAGTTTCAGTTTCTGTCTCTATCTTTTGCGTTGGGCGTTTCGATATTCACAGCTTGGAACGTGCTACCAGACGGTGATGCCGTTATATCTTATGCTTATCTCTAGGTACTTTGGCATCAGATGAGCGCCCGGGACAGTAGCGTTTTCGGTCCTCTGCCCTCTCTGATAGTCCTCCCGCCCGGGGCGGAATGGAGGCCTCGTGCTCCGCCCCGATCTGTCAGACGGCGAGGACGTTGATTGGCGCTGTTCATCCAGGCAGGCACGGTTGGTTGGCTCTATGCAGTTAGTGACGATGCAGTAAGAAAAGTCGCGTGGAAGACCGAATATCCTGGGCTGTGTTGCCGCCCGGTGTTGGTGTTGTTGGAAGACTGCAGCGGTGTTGGCGCTCCGCAGTAGGTGCAGCATGTTGGTCCAACACGCTGAACAAACACAAAAACAGGCTGCATGCCAAGGAATTCCCCTCTGTAATTCTGAGGTTGGAGCAATCTCGCCAAAGCTGCGCCACGAGAGACTATTGGCCAGGGGGCCAGAAATGACTCTTCGCGTCACATTTCAGCGAGCTGTGCCGCTCATAGGCTACCGGGATTAAATGTTGAAGAAAACTCTGGTGATGGCGGTGAAACTGGTGCCAGACGTTGGATCTTTCCCTCGAGCACACCACACGGTTAGCCGTAGCGGCGGTTTGTCCGGATGCTCGGTGCATAAGCCCGGCGACTTCGGCGGCCCACGGAGACCGTCCGCCGCGGCGGGGCCACCGTCCCGGCCCCGAGGAAATCGGCGCTTGGTCCCGCTCGTGGGCTACACTGGGTAGAGTAGAGCGTGCTTCCATCTCTGCAATCGGTTCCTTCGGGAGTGTCAAGCATGGGTGAATGCGGCCAACGGAAGGGCCCGTTGCAATTCGAAATTGACAGGCCAGACACGTTGCAACTACAGCAAACCCCCATACAT